TAAAAATACTACTCATCTCTTCATCACTATCTGTTATTTGACCTGTCTCAGTTTTTAATGGACCTATCCTTTCCCTAGTCTTAGTACGATATAACTGAAAAAACCCTTTAGGATTTGTCTTTGCTTGCCCTGCTATGCGAACTTCATAGTTTCTTTTTGCTTTCCTTATCTCTTTTTTAACATTTCTAACCAGTTGTACGAATTCCTGTTCTAAAGTGACCTCCCCATTTTTAATCCTTTTGTACCAAGCTCTCTTTTTACCTATAAGGTTCTTCAAATTCTTTGTTATCCACTTTGGGTCATTAGTATTCGATCTATTCAATTTGTATGGTATACTACGTTCCTGTGCTTTGTTTAGAATATTCTTAAATAAGTTATATATTGAATCCACATCGAAATCCCCATTTAAGTCACCTATCGCTGGGTTCATGTCTCGCTCCAAGACCGGCCCACACCCCATACCCAAGACTTTCCAATCAATTTGACCCAAAAAATTTCTTAGGCTATTAAAATCAGCTTTTCGAAAATCTGGCACTTTAACAGAATTTTCTCCTACTGGTCTATTCCATTCTATGCTAAATCTGATTTCTTTGTGATCACTGCTCCCTAGCTCACTCCCTATTTCGATGTCATTAATTTGCGTTTCCCTGTTAGTTAACACTAAATCTAAAATATTATTTTCCCGTGTTGGTTCCATAATGTGTTGCGTAAGAAAGCAATCGTCAATTAATTCTAGAAAATCTTCTGCTTCACTATTCCCTGTTTTGTTCAACCAGTTTATTCCGCTAAAATTAAAGTCACCCATGACATAAATACTGTTAGATCTAGATGCTCTAGATATTTCATCCCATAGATGCTTTGCTTCCATTCTGTCTAAATTTGGTGGCCTATATATTACTCCTATTATAATATTATTAGCTTTTTCGTTTAATTCAATCCAAATAGTTTCTGTGTGTGGCTCTGTTTTGATTCCCTCTTTGAGACTACATTTCAAATTGTCCCTAACATATATGGCTACTCCACCTCCTCGTCTAATATATCTATCTGTGTGAAATAGTTTAAATCCATATATTTGATATTCAGCTAATAGTTCTCTATTTTCTACATTCATCCACGTTTCGGTAAGTGCAATAATATCTATTTTTTCTGTGCAGACAAGAGCATTTAATTCGTTAATTTTATTTCTTAGACTTCTACTGTTAGTGTAATATACCCTAAGTGAATTGTTATTTTGCGGACCTTCTCTTTCCCTGATCGTTTTGCCAATTCCTTTCTCCCACAAACACATACTTTTATTACCTCCTTCCTCCAAATCAATTCCCATACCTCTATCTACTAACAGTTTAAACCCAAACAAACACCTCTAACCACTTCTTCTAACGAGTTCGCAACAGCAACAACCCCAGCTCTCGATAGATGCACCCCATCACGAGCATACATTTCATTTCTTCCATAGAAGTGTTCCCAGTTGTTTATGAAAGATATTGCATTTGATTTGCAATATCTTTCCAGCCGGCAATTGACACCAAGTGCCCTCGATATCCATTCATTTCCCACTCCCTTTCTTGGAAGAATGCCACATATGATCGGGATTCCTCCCTTGCTCCTAACTAACTCTATGGCTGTTTTATACCTCTGAATCAGTTCCTCACTCCTGACTCGACCAACATCATTTCCTCCCACGCTAATGCAAATAATGAGATAATATGGGATATCCCTACACCCCCCCATACTCTAGCACACCGTTTTGAGCCTTATAGCATCTATGTGTGTATACTTACAGCTCTACGAGCAATGTCGTAGAGTGTAGACCACTCGGCCACGGAACCGGCAGTTTCTGTTACTAGCTGGAACCACTAGAGACCCTTGTAATCAGGTAAATTCAGGGCAAATGGGTGTCTGGTGCCCCCCAGACAGGGTGGGTGGACGTCCCCAAGGTTGACCACCAGCATCAAAACATTTAAGTTGACTATAACCTTGAAGTTTCTATTTAAAGCAGCATTTGACCGTTTTATTTATTTATTTATATATTTATATACAAGAAGGTACATTGGCTTTGTGAGTATACATAGCATAGTATTTACACTCTTGTAAAGCCACTAGTACGCGCAGCGTTTCGGGCAGGTCCTTAATCTAACAGATAATTTTAAGTAGGTAAATTCTAGCAGAATTAATAAAATGATAACAAATATATTGCAAGAAAAAAATGAGATGAGAGAGATTAGTAAGTATATTAAAGCACATTGGTATATTAAAGCTCTGATTGATTACATTGACAACTTGATTGGTAATTTAAACAAGATTAATAGACACCATACAGCAGATTGACAGCACATATAAGAAGACAGCAATGATCACAATGGTAAAGATATTCGGATTGGGTACATAAAGATTGGGAGATTGGGTTGCAATAGATACAGTGCAATTTTAAAGCACAAGGTAGAAAATTATGAAGATGAAATTAGGTACTTTTTAGTTTTGTTTTTGAATGACGCAAAAGTTGGACAGTTTTTCAATTCACTAGGGAGTGAGTTCCATAGACTGGGTCCCTTTATTTGCATAGAGTGTTTACACAGATTAAGTTTAACTCTGGGGATATCAAAGAGATATTTATTTCTGGTGTGGTGATAATGGGTCCTATTACATCTGTCCAGGGAGAGTTTCAGAGCATGGTTTGCATTTAAGAACAGGGTTTTGTAAATGTAGTTGACACAAGAGAATGTGTGGAGGGAGTTAATATTTAACAAGTTTAGGGAGTTAAACAAGGGAGCTGAGTGTTGTCTGAAAGCAGAATTTGTTATTATTCTGATAGCAGAATTTTGCTGGGTGATGATGGACTTAAGGTGGTTTGCAGTGGTAGACCCCCATGCACAGATACCATAGTTAAGATAGGGATAGATTAGTGCATAATATAGTGAGAGGAGAGCAGAGTTAGGTACATAATATCTGATTTTGGAGAGTATACCAACTGTTTTAGAGACTTTCTTAGTTATGTGTTGTATGTGGGTGCTGAAGTTGAGTCTCTTGTCTAGGAATAGGCCAAGAAACTTGCCATCATTTTTATTGCTAATGTTAACATTATCTATCTGAAGCTGAATTGCATTTGTTGATTTGCATCCAAATAAGATGTAGTAGGTCTTTTTTATGTTAAGTGTTAGTTTGTTGGTTGACATCCATAAGTGGACTTTTTTTAGTTCATTATTAACAACATCATTTAGTGTATGTGGGTTGGGGTAGGAGTAGATGAGGGTAGTATCATCAGCAAACAAAATAGGTTTCAGAATGTTAGAGACATTAGGCAGATCTTATTATATATATATATATATATATATATATATATATATATATATATATATATATATATATATATATATATATATATATATATATATATATATATATATATATATATATATATATATTAGTATATTTTGGTAGCAGTCCTTCCTGTAGACATATATTATTAAATATGACCGAAAAAGTAAGATTAATAATTCTAACACGAATTTTCTCAATATTTCTTATGTTTCTTTTCACTGTTGATGGTAATTGAAAAATCAATTCTCCAAAATTCATTTTTATTTCTAGTCTGACGCGACGCTTGAACGCGTTTCGTAATAACTTATTACATTTTCAAAGACTTTAGTTTACACACACACAACTGTAACCTGTGAACACGCTAATCCGTCATACTTGTACTCACATTTGGATGAGGTGAACAAACTTGTGACAAACACAAGACATAACACGGAACTATGGGTATTAATTGGATATGAGAGTCAATTAAGTCTCTCATATGAGAAGTCAACACCAGCAATCAACAGCCATTTAATGCACAACTATATTCTACCCACTTCAAGACTCCAAATCAATATAATAATTTATTTTATTTTATTTTTTTATTTAGGCAAAGGTACATACATAAAGAGATTTTACAAAGTTTGTTGGCTTTATAGATAGAGCTAGTACATACAATGTCTAAAGCCACTATTACGCAAAGCGTTTCGGGCAGAAAGAAGATATAGAAGCATCAAGAGGAAGTATGGGCCAATAGGCCCTCTGCAGTTACTTCCATTCTTATGAAAACTAAGTACTACCTAATTAACTCCCTGTAACCTTCCTTACCCCGAAATGTCAACCCATGTCTTCCCTGGAAACACAAACCGTAACTATCTCTATTTTCCGCTCGTTACAACTTGTAATAAAGTTGTTACCTCTTGGCTTAACGTGTTTATGACGTATTAGAACGTTGTTACAACTTGTTATATTGGTTGTTATAACTGGTTAGGAGGTGTTAAAACTTGTTCGAACGTTGTAGCAACGTTGTAGTTTCGGTGTGTGTTTGGCGGGTTACTATTTTTTAACAATGCTGTTTGTTGACCAACTTGTATATTGGCTATTTTCTACCATGTTCCCCCCTTTTTTATCTTTTTTTTTTGTTCTTTCAACACAATTTATACTTTAAGATCAATTACTATTAAGTTTTAGTATAAGTGTTTTCCCCCCCTCACTTTGCCCGAAACGCTATGCTTCCTAAATAAAATATTATTATTATTATTATTATTATTATTATTATTATTATTATTATTATTATTATTATTATTATTATTATTAATTTAGGGAAATATTATTATTATAAATTTATAAATATTATTATAAATTTAGGGAAAAATATTATCTGTATTTTACACAGTAGTGAACGCGATTCCTTCAGTTTGCAGTAATGTATAAACTATGTATTTAAGTTCAAAGATATATTTATAAACAATATTTAATAAATAATTCTGGGAAACGACAATATTAGCGGAGTTTTGGCTTAATTTAATTGAATATTGCCCTTAGCTAGTGGTACAGTGAACGGCTTCCGTTCAGCTGACATTATTATATAAAATATTTATTTCAATTCAATGATATATTTTAAAGTAATTATTATTGTATTAAATGAAGAGAAATGGTAATATTGATGTAATATTCCAAGGCTTTGTGGAGCAGTGAACGCGGCCGCCCAGCTGACCGTCCACAACAACATGGCGGCCGGCGGCGTGGCGGGCTCTCGAAGCTTCCCCTTGGTTAAAACTCTCCATAACTCTGCCAAGTCATGCCACCGCCGGTTCCTCGCCGCGAATACCGCGAGCAGCTACATCGCTCGCGATTCCTCGTCCAGGATTGGGCGGCTAAAGTTCCTCTCCGGTGTGTTGAGTGCAGGTAAATACCGCTGGTTCCTCCCGAGGCGTCGAGTGTGTCGTCTGCTGGTCATGTTTCTCTGGTCGTCCTGTAACGACCTGGGTGGTAGTGGTGCCTCAGGGCGGTCGTTAATAGTTGAGAAGGTCAGAGTGTTAGGCCCAATCACATTCAGGAGGGTTGTTATTAACGTCGTGTGAATTTGTGGTCTTCAGAGGTAGTCTTGGCCCGGCAAACTTCAGACCTTAAAGCTGTTACAAACAAACCCTAATATAAACTATTGCCTTCAGACGGCCTTGATTACGTCTTTCTTTTCTATTTTAATGCCGTCCATTGAGGCAGAACGAATTGCTTCGTATCAAGACACGTAAAGCTCAAATTTTCAAAATCAAATGTTAATTCAAAATATTATGTGCACAAAGAACGTAAGAGTTATGTACAATTGTAGGTACCGGAGTTACATATACTAATGAAGCCACTGTTACGTAAAATGTTTCCCGCAAAACGTAAAATAATTAGGAAAAATTTAAATACAGTGGGAGGAGGTAAAACACTTAAAGTATTAAGAGAAAGTCAAGGTAAAAATGAAAACAATCAAGGAAAATAATGAATACAATGCGAAGGTGATACTTAAGGGTGACAGGTGCGAGCTAATATAGTATGGAGTCTGTAGTTCTAGCCACAGTATAGTGGTATATTTACATAGATGATTGTACAATTAGACAGTTATTTACAAAACAATTGTTGGATCGTGGTCTGGGGAAAGTATGGCCACATTGGTTCCAAAATCATGGCTCAAATTGCAGTATATAAATAAAAATATTCCTCAATAACCTCCAAAATGTCTAAAAATCAAATAATCTTGAATTAAAAATGGCCTTTACATGCTATGTTCACCATAAAAGATAGTTGATCTACGGGGGGGGGGGGGGGTCGGACTAGATTTTAAGTTTGCTTGAAGATTAGAAAATTCCATAATTGGGTATTACATATTTCCCATACACACTGGAAATTAATTAAAATTTACGACCATGTTCTAGATTTTATCTAGTTTGGTTTCCATTTAAGAACATTCCTGCCCGAAACGCTGTGCGTACTAGTGGCTTTACAAGAATGTAATTACTATGCTATGTATCCTCACAATCCCAATGTACCTTCTTGTATATATATAAATAAATAAATAAATAAAACATAAGAATCAAGGTAACTGCATAAGGCTTATTGGTCCATACGAGGCAGCTTCTATTCATATCCTCCCAAACTCACTCATATATTCAAGCGTAGTCTAACCTACGCTTGAAACAATCGGTTTTGGTTGCATATTTTGATGTTACAAGAGTGCTAAGGCACTGTGGATCGTCGAGTTTAGTGAACTAGACCACTCTTCCTTTCCAAGAAAGTGGCAAGAAAATGGGTCTACTAAATACCACTAAATCACGATACTAGCACAAAACAAGGTAAATTGGAATTGTTTGTTACAGCACGTAGGATACGAAGGTACGAGCTCGTTGAAGGCTAGTGACAATATATTGGCAATTTCTTCGTAAGTCTGAATTGTGATTTACATACGAAAGTGTGTAAATTTGTGCCAAATAATATAACCACAAAATGAGTTTTTGTTTACATTGGATTTTTTGTTTTTTACTATTTAGTGCTAACGTAATATTTAAAATTAAATGATATAAATTTAGTAAATATTTACCAGAATTTACCTCAATGTCACTATCTTTAGTGGCCTCAACGGGGACAGGAAGCCACCGACTTGGTAAAAGTCCCATTTGTCCTGATTTTATCATGCTGGATTTTGAACTGCAGCGATGTTTTGTGGTGTTTTGGCCGTAAATGTCATTTGACTCGTGGGTACATACTTGCAGTTTGACACATTTAGTAGTAATTTACCTTTAATATTTTACAATGGGTCTGCATGTTAGACCTTAAATGTTGTTTTAATTTTGTAATACCATTCTAAGCCTTGTAATGCATCCCATTTTCCAGTCACCATAAAATACGGTGCTATTTATGGTTTTTTTAATACGTCTGTATAGAAATGTGTGTACGCTGTTATACCCCACAAGTTTGGCACTTGCCTTTAATAATTACTGTAATAATCAAGTACAGATGTACAGTACTGTGCAATGTACACATTTGTCAAAATTCAGTGTGCATTCCCAACCATTTTATTTCCATGTGAATAGATAATACTTCAGATTTTAATCCAAATGTCACTGGTGGACTGGGAGTGCTTAATGATTTCTATTTGGCAACCATCTGGCGGATGCAGTCAGATGCAAGATTAGGTAACGTTAATTAATAAATTTATTGATTGTTCTTTATTGACTGACAAGTTTATTGTTGATGATGCATAATTAAAGAGGATCAGGGGCGCCGTGTCAAAGTTACCTTCCAACTCTCATTACACATCAATACTCTTCACTGGGTTGCTTGTCCTTAATTATTTATTTTTTTCTGTATAATCTTCCTGTAATTTGACTATAAAGTCTCATCTGGCATGTACAAATAATGAATAATTAATACCAAACCCCCACACATGTGAAAAGGATGACAATTTGGTCATTCCTGGATCTTTATTATGTCATGACACAACTTGGGGTCCAGAACAGACTGAAACGTGATCATTTCTCTTTCTTATTGTGCTTGTTCTCTGCAATATGAGTAATTTTCGTAACCCTTCATAGGCAAGGTATTGAGACCTCTGTGTAGCGTGCAGTATCACACTTCCCAGACATTTCGGCAACGAGATTACTACGAAATTCTTGGAGTGCCACGGAATGCGTCAAATAAGGATATCAAGAAGGCATATTACCAACTAGCCAAGAAGTATCACCCAGATGTTAATAAAGATGACCCCGGCTCTCAGAAAAAGTTCACAGAGGTTTCTGAAGCATACGAGGTGAGAGAATGAATTTTGTTTGTTTTACCGATGTCTTGTTCTATTGTTAGATGGGATAGTAATGTCACAGTAAACAGGTATGAACCCCTATTTTTCCCGTCTTGTGTAGGGGGGAATCCTGGGGTTGTGTCCTTGGGGTGGGACAGAAGTAAGTGGTTGGGAACATTTCCTTTCACCTGATGCATCTGTTCATCTAGCAGTAAATATGTACCTAGGAGTTGGACAATTGTTGTAGTTGTATCCTGGGAAAGGTCAGCAATTGACCTAAGGGGGACTTTATAAGACTGTAGGACATAAAATAGCTATTAAATGTTTGTTTCCACGATAATGTGGTTGATGTGCGGGTGGATCACTAATACCCATGTGCTTAAATAGGAGCCGGGGGAAGAGTGAAATTTCAGTTGGGCAGCGGTTTCGTGCCTCTGACATTTTTCCTATTGTGGCTTCCTGAATTGCTCGGTGGTAGAGCTTTTGCCTCACGGCCGTCGGGTCGGCGGTTTGAATCTCCTCGTGCCCAAGTGAATGAAAAGGAAAGATAAAAATAGTTGTTAAGGCGAGGCTCTAGAACTAACTCTGGCTCACTATAGACACAACTAGGTTCATTATACATTTATTGAATTGATTTTCAAGTGTTGGTGTAGGGAAAACATTGTATTTTGTAAATATAAATACAATAAACATGTGCATCCTGTCTGCTGGTAAATACAGTATACAATTTTTTGTGGTGATTACAAATGTAACCTCCACACTAAGTGCAATGCATCTGTCTGCAGGTCCTGGGTGACGAGGAGAAACGACGCCAGTACGACACAATGGGGCACACGGCAGAGCAGATGGGCAGAGCGGGTATGGGCGGCAGCGCAGGAAATCCATTCCAGTCTGGGTGGAGCTACCAGACTACAATTGATCCCGAGGAACTCTTCAGGAAGATCTTTGGTGATTTCCGCAGGGCTGGAATGGACATCGGAGATCAGGATTTTGCCGAGTCTTCGTATGGCTTTGGTTCTGCACAGGAGGTACAGTATTTTAGGTTTTGTAGCTTTATGGTTCATATGTTACACAGCCTAATTTTTTTTTTTTTTTTAACCAATTCACAAGGGCCTCGATGAGGATTCGAACCTAGGTGCTGGATGTTCCCACCATCCATATTATATATTTATATATTTTTTGCGGGGTTTGATTTTTGTTGTTCCTGGGTAGTAAGTGTTGTTTTCTAATTACTTGTGCTCCCAAATTTTAGAAAATGGCTACTATTATTACCCTCAAACTTTTGTTTTGACCTTTGCCTAAGACTGTTCAGGGAAGACGCCTTGATGTTACCTGAAGGCTGTACGCTTGTGAAACAATGCATCACAAGTCTAGATAAGGAGTCTCCAGCCTTCCAAGTACAATGTGTCATTTACATTCATTGTTTCCCGACAGATCACAATGAATTTAACGTTCTCTCAAGCGGCGAGGGGCATCAACAAGGACGTCACTGTCAACACTGTAGACATTTGCCCCAAATGCTCGGGCTCTCGGTGCGAGCCGGGAACGAAGGCTGCACGCTGCCAGTACTGCAATGGAACGGGCATGGAAACCATCTCGACAGGTAAAGGAGGAACGAAGATTATTGCTGTGTGTATATCTTAATGCAATAGAAGAAATTTAGTTTTAACCAAAGCTACGAGAATTCTGATTAAATGGTGTTCATTACCAGTCTTTAACTATCCGTGCTGCTCTTCTTATAACCTGTTTTGTGTATACCTGTATAAATTCTCTAGTATTCCATATAACTTTCCATTAATAAATTGTAGGAAGTTTTCATTTACAAGGTTGACAATTTGTTAATGTATTCTTGGGAATGGGTGGATGAATAGCAACTGTTATCCTCGTATTACAAATTTCAACGCATTTTTTTTTCTGGTAGGTCCCTTCGTGATGCGGCAGACGTGCCGATACTGTCATGGGACGCGCATGCACATTAAATTTCCGTGCACAGAGTGTGAGGGAAAAGGCCAGACAGTACAGCGAAAGACAGTCACAGTCCCAGTTCCTGCAGGTAGGTCGTGGTGATAACAAGTCCATAGCTTTTTGAAAGTCCATGAATAAGGGGATCACACAACAGTGTGAATCACAAGTCGAGCCTGGCCTCGGGCTGGGCTTGGGGACTCCCAGAACCCCATCAACCAGGTGTCCCTAAGTGTAAGTGTGCACCCTTAAGGTGCAGTTATTATTTTCCATGGATTTGTGGGGTTTTGCCGGTATCGTCATACATTGATTTAAACTATTATTGACCAAATTTTACATGAATGATGCTAATATGGATATAATGGCTTTATGTTGATGTAGAGTTTACCCTGACACATGAAACTAATCCTGCTATCGTGTTACAATTACACCACCATGTAAATGCAGTTATCGTTGCGAATATTACTAAGCCAATGTGGTAATCGTCACATGTAATTATAATTACGTGTTTATACTGTATATGTATATATATACACACACACACGTACATATATACATAACACATACGTGTGTGTGTGTATACATACAATGTATATATACACAAGGTTCTTGCCCCAAGGTGGAACTACTGACTCCCGCCAGGATACAACCCCACAACAGTTGCCTAACTCCCTGGTACCTATTTACCGCTAGGTGAACAGAGGCATTAGAGTGAAAGGAATTGGGTAATCTGAATGTCATGTGTTAGGAGAATAAATTGAGTTTGGAATGAAATTTGGAGTGCAAAATGTCAATAACCCACAAGATTGCAGAGAGCAACAGCGATACTGTTTTGACATTTTGAGTAAATGGACGATTGTAGACTAGTGAAGAGAGTGGATTGGAGTGAGGGAATTTTCAGGAGAAAGCGCAAAGCCATTGCGACTATATAGCACTTGGAAGGGATCAGGATAAGGATTTGGGATGAGACAAGGGAAAGGAATGGTGTCTAACCACTTGGACGGTTGGGTATTGAACACCGACCTGCATGAAGCGAGACCGTTGCTCTACCGTCCAGCCCAAGTGGTTGGAGTGAATTTGAGTGTGGGAGGAAGGCCGGGATGCTAGGCAGACATAGTGAGCAAGCGTGCTAGAAGGACGGGAACATCCATAGTGGCAAGTGTAGGTGTCCTCCGGGGTGATGCTTCTCCTCGCCTCAAATGTGGGAAAAGCAGATACTGCCTGTATGTAATAATGTTCATTACTTGGGTGCAACGGCAAGTGCAGTCGGGTCACAGCTGAAGGGGCCCATGTTTGAGGCATGCTGCAGGACTGGAGCATTTGGGTAATATTTTTGTTCTGATGCCTCTGTTCATCTACTGTATCAGTAAACGGGTATCTGGGAGTTGGGCAGCTGTTGTGGGGTTGGAGATTGGGGGGAAGGTCAGTAGTTGGCCTATAGTGGGGTCTTGATAGGTATTAACAAGCTTTCTCTCCTCAACTATGTTAAATCATAAGACAAGCCATACAATTACCTTGAGGTGTTTCCGGGGCTTAGCGTCCCCCTCGGTCCGGTCGTTGACCAGGCCGCCTCATTGCTGGACTGGTCAACCAGGCTGTTGATGCGTATAGATGCATCTTTTCCTATTGATGGGCACACTTTAGGGTTTGTGTAATGAATTTTTTCTTCATGCATCAAGAAATTTCAGTTTAACACTTTGGCGTCGTGATGGCGTTTACGCAGTCATTAAAATGATGCACGTAATTCAGGGCATGACGTTAGCACCATCAACAATTCATTTTTGTGATTCTTATTCAGTACTTTATAAACATTGCGAGTGAGTTTAACATTGGGTTGTGTGCTCGCTGGCAATGGCTAGCCTACCTTGCTGTGCGATGTGGGTGGCCCGCCAGGCAAACTGTTCAAACATGGTTTAAATGTAAGATTAAACATTTACCATATTTGTTCTTTAGGTGTTGAGGATGGACAGACGTTAAGAATGACAGTAGGAAGGAAGGAAGTGTTTGTACGGATCAGTGTCAGCAAGAGCGACTACTACCGCCGAGAAGGAGCCGACATCCACACGGATACGACAATCTCTCTGGCTCAGGCTGCTCTAGGGGGAGCCACCCGGGTACAGGGCATCTACGAGGACATCACCTTACAGGTATTTTAGACACGTCCAATGGATGTAAACAAGTGTATTTAATGACTACCAATATTTCAGTCCTGCCATTCTCTTATTTTCAAGTATAAAACTGTTGTACAAACTGTTATACACCAGTTCAACAATATACCTGGTATGCGTACACTGATGTATCTGAGAAAATCTTTGGGGTATTCGATCACACCAGTGTCCTGGGTAACTCCAGATGTGTAACTTGTACCATACAATAATGTACCCGGTCCTCGGTGATTAGAGAAAATTCGTATTTGGTATGCCCTCTGATACATGTGGGGCTACACACACAAGATCAGCAGCATGCCCTCGGATACAAGTGGGCTACACACAAGATTGGCAGCATGCCCTCTGATACATGTGGGGCTATCATCTTGAGGTTATCTTGAGATGATTTTGGGGCTTAGCATCCCCATGGCCCGGTCTTTGACCAGGTCTCCTTTTTCGTACACACACCCCAGGAAGCAGCCCGTAACAGCTGTCTTAACTCCCAGGTACCTATTTACTACTAGGTGAACAGGGGCATCAGGGTGAAAGAAACATTTTGCCCATTTGTCTCCACCTCCGCCAGGGATCGAACCCGGAACCTCAGGACTATGAATCCCAAGCGCTGTCCACCCAGCTGTCAGGCCCCCTAGCCAAGAGATCTGCAGCACTGTTCACAATAAATGGATTGCGTTGACAAATTAAACAGATTACATTCATATTTTAGATGATCCTTGATTGATGAAGAATTTGTTACCACTGTTCACTAAAATCTGAAGCCAAGACACGAGATCAGAGGATGAGAATGGCTTTGTAAGAAATTAAGAAAATGGGATATGAAGAGTGGGGATCTTTATTTTGAAATTTAATTTTGGGGATATGGCAGCTTTGAAAATAAGATGGAGAATACAGTATATGGAGGGTTGCATATAGTTGCAGCCAGCATTGTACTTTGTTTTAGCAACATATGGGGCTGAATGGCGCTATTCAAAATCCATAGTGTACCAGTGCCCATTTTTAATGTAGAAATTGCAAAAAAAAATTATGGCCTCAGGTCAGGCTTTGGGAAGTAGAACTGCTCCCAGAACCCACTGCAGGTAATCCTTATTATTCCTGAAGAGACTACATTGGCAAACATTTTATTAAATTTAGATACTTTTGTATATGCTGATATAAAAAAGTGTGTTGACATAATTGAAGTTGAAATACTTTACTTTATTCATAAATGTTTTGTACATTTAGTTGCATTAGGTTACACAAATAGCAAAACATGAAATACCTATAATTATTAACTGTAAACTCAATATATAGATTTAGAAGCTACATTTATCAGTGATTTTAAAATCATTACAGTTGTCAAATTCAGAGTAAGAAACTATTTCTGTTAGAACTTGTACAAATCGTTACAATAATGGCTGTACTAAACAGGTGTACGTCAGTCAGTGGTTACAATAATGGCTGTACTAAACAGGTGTACGTCAGTCAGTGGTTACAATAATGGCTGCACTAAATGGGTGTACGTCAGTCAGTGGTTACAATAATGGCTGCACTAAACAGGTGTACGTCAGTCAGTGGTTACAATAATGGCTGCACTAAATGGGTGTACGTCAATCTAAATCGAACTTTACAGTTTGGTTTAAAGTAAATAGCATTTAACTTAAAATTTGAAAAGTGATATATATTGTGCACAGTTTGTGCACAAGATTCATAATATACAGAGATAGTTGTCTTGTGTATCACACTTGCCAGAACTAAAGGTATTTTCAAGTAAAAATTCGTACATATTCAAGTACACATGTATACAATATTTTCCTCAGATAAAATCTGAGGAGCAGGACAGTGGGATTGAACCATCTTCAGGTCTAGGCATGTAGAAATGTCTTCACTTTTCTAGATACCAAAGGGCACCCAGTCACACACCAAAATTCGTCTAAATGGGAAAGGAGTGAAGAGAGTTAGTTCGTACGGCTATGGCGACCACTACGTCCACATCAAGATCAAAGTGCCGACCAAACTGACGCCCGAGCAGACTGCTCTGCTGACGGCACTGGCGGAGTTGGAGACGGACACCCCGGGCACGGTGAGCGGGATCACCTACACCAAAGACGGTAAGCAGTTGAGATCCCTGTTTTAAAAGGCATGACTAGGAGCAAGGGTAGGGAACTGTTAGGAGAAAGTGGCAAGCCATTACCACTTTATAACGCTTGGAAGGGGCGAGGATAAGGATTTGGGATGGGATAAGGAATAAATGTACGTACTCCCAAAGAGGTGGGAGTATTAATGTGTTCCTTGTCTTCCCTCTCCCACACCAATGAAGGAAGAGGGGGAGGTTTAATGTGTGTACCCTCCTCCCACACCAAATGAAGGTGTGGGAGGTCTCTCCCATAGCCACATCGGTAGTTGCGAGACTCTGAATGTTGTCTTTTCTGTTACGAGTTCAATGCCATTTGGCACCACAGCATGACATAGCTTCGTGATTTTTTATTTTATTCTCCCAGCTTGGAAACTCTGGCACTTGTTTTAATATCTAATAGACTAAATGCTCTCCTAAAAGAAATGGTTCAGATGAATTTCCACTAGTTATTCTATGCCCTTTATTCCCATATTAAGTCACCTTTACCCTGAAACTGCTCGAGTCACTATCTGCGATTTCCTCCTGTACTCCAATTGCCATATATGATATTTTCCCTTTTGAATTTTTACTCTATTTAGTCAAGTGCAGCCTGGTGTAACACTTTTGTAGTACTGCGTAGTACTTTTCTAGTACCTGTGATGTATTTTTCCAGTACATACGGGGTAGTACTGCTGCACAGTTCATGGGATTAATGTCACTTAAAGAATGAAAGACGTGTATTTCCTGTCCCGTATTCCCATAACGGAGAACCGTAATGTGGATGAAGCCACTATAAGAGGAATAAAAAGATTCCTGTTTCCTACAGGACAGAAGAAGGCCTTTGAAGAAGAGGCATCCCACACCTCAGGAGACCCTGCCGCTGCACCTCGGCAAGGTTCCCGGTCCCATGCCGCCTCTTCTGGCCTTCGGGGAGACTCGGACGAGGGCCTCTTGACCAAAATTAAACGGGCAATATTTGGGTAGGGTGCGTATAAGGATCATTCATTGTTACATTAAAACATGTAATGAAGTGGATAATGTTAGACCCCCCCTGTTGCTGGCTCTTAACGTTATGCTGGTGTTAAACATTTGCTGCATGAATACCCTCAAAATAATTCAATTGGCTTTACATTTGTGGCTTTTGACTTGGTATCTAATATGGGAATACAGGATATGAGCATAAAGAAATGAAAATGTGGGTAGAACTGTCGGGTATCATATAGTGCAGTTGATACGAGCTGCCCTTCTGGCCACTTCAAGGGAAATGATTGCTAGCTCTATTATCGTCTGAGCAGCAGCCTCTTTAACTGTAACATTTTGTTGCAAGAAACGAAAGCCTTTCAAGAGTTCCGAAACATTTGTCAGTGTAGAATACACAGAGAAATCACATTATCATGATATATCAATGAGAAAATCCACTGGATTTTAGATGTTTACGTCTGGGAATACATAAGTTGGAATCCTCATCACGGCTCCTGTGGATTTTCTTAGTGTAGCATGTACATTGGTAAGATTGTGTAGGACTTATCTAAGGTCATGGTGCATGCTTCCTCACATTGTTAGTGATGTCTTAATGATGGTCATTCCTCATGCTCTTAAGATCTGTTTATTTGGTGGAACAAGTTTTGTTAATGCTGCACTTTGTCTTTGATAACATTGCTGGTTCTCCTAACAAGGTGTTAATATCTTATCAAGGTGGTAAGAGAGTGGCACTGGAGCAGAATGAGATGCTGAAGCAGATTCAAACAATACTGAGCCGGAACATCGAGGGCATAATTGCTCGTAAAGTTGCAGACGATGTTGAGGATGCTGCGCAGGACACGAAGCGAACCGAGGCAACAGATGAAGATAAACAGGGAAATAGAGTATGAGAGCGAAGATACAGGAGGGTGGAGTTGAAGATTATGGCCCGGCACAAACCATAGCAACCCCACAATAGTTTTTTGTTGGGCATTACTAAAATTACAAGGAAATCATAAGTGTAGCTTTTGTTCATATACAAGACCAGTTTTGTCATTTTTCATCTTCACGCCATGGAAATTGTACGTTCTGTTGCAATGTAGTGTTCCTTGTTCCCATATTTCATATTTACCAGATGTTTGTGATGTTCATATTCAATAAGGACAGACAGCCTATGCTTTCAGTCCCATGCCAAGCCTTTATTGTGATTACTCGAGCTATACCAATAGTCTATCCCGGATCGTAGAAAATACTCGACTAAAAATTCATGTAGCACACGAGGTGTTCGATTCCATGTGTACAACGGTTACTATGTTGGACCAACACAAATGTATAACAGTAAGTACTTCTACAGACCACACAAGTGTATGGCGACGGTGAAGTCAGGTGCCAAGTACTGTAAATGTTAGTTTGTTATTAGTTATAATAAAGCTGAATTAAACCAGAGTTGTGAGCTTGCTTTTAACTCATGAAGGGAATTATTACTGCATGCATCTAAAGATGTTATCAGCGACACTTGCTGCAGTCAAGGAATTAATAATATGACCGAGCCAAGCAGCAGTGTTCATAGTACTGGATCTGTGAGGTGGTCTACAGCCATCAGTGTTCCACTTCAAGATGTGCAGTGTCAATTTGTGTGTAGATGCAAGTTCATTGAAGCACTATGAAAAGTTACATACAAAAATGTTTTAACAAGAAGTTTGTACAAAATAGCAGGACTGGGTAAGGCAGCGCATTGAAGTTTAGAGATGCTTACTGCAGCACTTTACAATCACAGCAGTTAATAAGCTGGTAACTAAATACAATAGACTTGATAAATGACGTATTTATTTTGATCCTCTCTCAACCAGAATCATCTGTTTTACTGCATTAGTTTTTTTTTATTTCTGCCTGCAGATATGTGGGAGAAAAACAGCAATGAAAGTATAACTGAACAAACTGAGAAATTAGGACGAGAGACTTGAATGTTTTCCATTTACCTTTGACCATTACATGTTCAGTCGCCACAGCCGGGGAGGACTAAAACTTCCAGTTTTCACCTCTTAATATGTGGGTTTGTGAGGCAGGGATATATGGGAGGCAGCAAAACATTTCCACCCAAGTATGACAGTTTAGCCGTCTTGGTTGCTATGTACAGGTACGTTGAAATCTATGATGTATATATTGGAATGGTATTAAAGTTTACCTTGAAAGGAAAGTATTATTAGTTCCTCATATAATATATAGATAGTTTCCTTATGATGCCTGAAATTTTGGTTGAGGCATGTGCGGGCAATATTTTGTCTACTAATGTCTGGTCCTGGTTTTCAGGATGACTGTAGTTCTTGCTTTCCCAATGTGTGTGTCTAAGATCCTTGCCAAATCCAGTACTGATGACATTCCTCATTTTGTGCCAAGTACTGTAAATGTTAGTTTTTGTTACTGTAGTTATAATAAAGCTGAATTAAATAAAAGTTGAGCCTGCTTTTAACTCGTGAAGGGAATTATTACTGCATGCATCTAAAATTTTTATCAGCAACACTTGCTGCAGTCAAGAGGTTGCTGATAATTGCATATTTACTAATTTCCTCTAGAACTGGAATTATGACTGATATTTAGGAGCTATTGAATATACCACAACACTGACGGTACTAAGTACTGTAGTCTTTTTGGCTTGGTGCCCTTTTGTGATAATTACTTGACATCTGCCAGACACTAGTGGAGCACTGGCCAGGGCTGCTCGATCCCCATGAATCCATTGGGAGGTTTCGTGGTTCGATGCTCGATTCCCAGATGGGCAGTCTGTTATTAACAGCATAGGTGAAGTGCTCATTAATCCAGCCGCCAAACCCCCATTTATGAATGAAACGGTTTATACACGACTCTACAACTGAAGACATTTGAACAGTCCTTTGCCAACAACTTCTGTTCGAACTGCAATGCAGTAAAATGCTTCAACCACGTACTTCAAATACAAATAATTGCCAATAGAACCTAAACACCTAACCTATGCCAAACTATACAGTACTTAGGCCTTTAATAAATATAGTACAGAAATTATATAAATGTTATAATATCTATATAACATTCTATACAATGTTCTATATGCAATATTCTATTGTTCCATATATCTATATAATATGTTCTATATAAATATCAAATACCAATATTCAATACACAATACATTAACATTTATGAATGCATCTTTGTGGAATGGCTGCAGCTTTAACGAGCCTGGCCTGAGGACTGGCTGAAAAAATTGCCAACAGAACCTAAATGCCTAATATAACCTATGCAGAAATATGCTAATACAGTATATTGATTTATAAGAAAATTACCATTTTGAATGAACAGTATAGTAACACTTAGACTGCGCATATTGGGGGCCTGGTTGCAAAAAGTATTTGAATTATGTAAAAATAACTTAAAAATGTTAAACAAATCTCCAACTTATTGGCTTCAGTGTCGTGAAACTTTCATCAAAGTATTTTCAGAAATTGATTTTAGACGATTTTTTTTAATAATAAGAACATTTTTGTTGATTAGGAGAACAGCTCCTAATTACTGGAACTAAAGGATAATGCAGTAATATAGAGATGCAAGCACCTGTCTGACGCTCGAAGAAGTGTCCACGGAGTGGATATACAGTTGGTGCCTATATATCATTGCTGAGTAATACATAACACAAATAATAATGGATAACTATGTTAATATGATCTATTTTGTTATATATCATATAAATACATTGTCCAATGTTAATATATGTTAATTTCATCAATGTTCCATAAATAATTTTTTTTTAAGATTTTAGTGTTTTTTTTTTTTTTTGCTTTTGTTTATTATCTGATTTTGTTGTAACTTTACATCCTGGAGAATGTACATGTTTTTATAACTATGTGAAGATAGAATGAAATTGGTCAACAAATAAGTCAGTCACAACTCGCACAACTTTGGACTATTTTTTTGACTGATTTTTTCTCTGATTTCAAACTATTTTCTTTGTCTCTTTAGGTTTTTTGATGATTAGGGACCATATTAGGGCTTATTTACTTATATAAAGTATACCCTAAATATATCCCCTAAATCATTATAATTATTATAATTATCCCAATATTTTGTGTTTTTTGGGGGGTATTTTTTCTTGACTTCATTTCAACACATATTGACCGACAACTTTCACATATTCGAGTATGAATGCCAAACAATGTTTATTAAAACATACAATTAAATTAACGAATTAAAACTACCTTTATTCATTGTTAACTTCAACTTCAATTATCTCTGAAACTAGAGTTTCAACTTTGAGTGGCTTCTAAAATTCCAGTTTTTGACCAATTCTCACTATTTTTGACATATTGTGTGCTCAGCTGTCTGTTCTACAATCCCACCAGAATGGATTTCTCATAAACTTTATACATTTAGAGTTATAATTTTTTGGGGTCTAATTTTGAAATTCCCTGCAGTAAGAATTATAAAATAATTCCCAATTATTATATGCATATAATATCCAAAATCCATGGAAAGACCTTCCCGAAAACCCCGCTACGTTGCCGAACTGACGACTCGATGCCGAGTCCTTACTGGACTTCTCTATTTAACGGATTATACAATGCTGAGTTCTTACCGAGCAAAAGTGTTTTAATAAATTATTATATGTCAAATCATATATGTATGTATTGTGCGATCTAAGGGTTAAAATTTATGAATGTGTCGTTGGGGGGTCAGCCACTGAATGGAATGAACATAGTATGAGGATGTGTTGGGGCAGGACAGAAATGGTTGGGCAAGTTTTTTTCTTTTACCTAATGCCTCTCTTCACCTAGCAGTAAGTAGGTATCCAGAAGCTAAGCAACTGTTGGGGGGGGGGGGATGAAGGTTTCATTCTGGAAAGGGTCAGTAGTTTGATGGGTGGGGGGGTGCTACATAGCCTTCCTGGCTTGGTGGCTTCTTTGATAATTACTTGACAGGGGAAAGGGAGGTTAAGATCTCGATATAAGCCTAGAGTATATATATACACAGGCTTCATGTTGCCAACAAAACAAATCATACTGGGACACCACCTGTGATGGCCAGCAGTCCTGGACCAAAGCTTGATGCTATAATCTACAATGTAATATGAACACAGTCTGGGTCTATGCCTCCTATACATTAGACTCTACCACTGATGAATTTTCACTGCAACAAAACAGCTTGTTTCAGACATTGCCTCAAACTTACTCGAACTTACAGTATTAGTTATTTATATTTTGACTATAATCCACCTATGGGTTCACGCAGCAAGTCGCTCTGATTAATGCATCATTAAGCATTGGGAAACATTTTGGGTGAAGCTTAGAAAAAGACGACAGCTTACGAGCTACCAGCAGCAAAAGAGCCTGGAAATGGCACGAGATGGTTTGCTTTAGAATAAAATAATATACAAAGCGTAGTGGTCTATGTCCTCACTTCACAATCAAGAGCTCAAGCCTCATCCTTGTCCTGGTTCAAGCCTTGGACACACTCCAGAACAGAAATGGTTGGGCATGTTTCCTTTCACCTGATGCCACTGTTCACCTAGAAATAAAATAAGTACTTGGGAGTTGGTCAATTATTGTGGGTTGCATCCTGGGAAAGGTCAGTAGTTGACCTCAATGACCCTAAATACAGGCTTCCTGTCCCCCGACAACTGGAAATTTATTCTACAATATTTGACAAGTGAAAGGTACGTACAGTATATAATGTGTGTGTATATACGTAGGGTGACTTACACTTGTAGGGAGCCTGTCCACCCACCTCTTTGGATTCTTAGTTATGAGGTTCCGGGTTCGATCCCTGGTGGAAGCGGAGACAAATGGGCAAAATGTTTCTTTCACCCTCATGCCCCTGTTACCTAGCAGTAAATAGGTATCTGGGAGTTAGACTGCTGCTACGGGCTGCTTCCTAGGGGGTGTGTAACAAAAGGAAGGCCTGGTTGAGGACCGGGCTGCGGGGACGCTAAACCCCGAAATCAGCTAAAGATAACCTCAAGAAGATACATACAGCATATAAAATGGTACTGTACATGAAGGTGTAATCATACAATATTCTATGTAGGTTAACAATACACTTGAGCTAAAATTATTGGATTTAATTAAATTATCACTTTGGCATACAATCATGAATAAAATCAACTTCTTTTGCCTATACTGCTGACCCACGATGCAGTCCAGATGTCTTGCGCAAAGATTCCCTTAGTGCTAGGAGACTGGACAGGAAAGTGATCTATGAGGCTGACTCTTGGAAGATGCTGCCCAAGAAAGTTCCATAATTCACTCTCTTGAGGTTGATGCACATTGACCGCCAAGCGCTTGAGGCAGGGAAGGGACGCGGCGACCATCTGTGCAGTGTCGAGACTTATCTCGCTCGATTCCGGCAGTACCAGTAATTCGGTATGTCTCCAACCACCTTCTTCCACTACCACTTGTAAGGCTTCGTCCAAGTTGCAAACTGATGCCCAAGTACAATGGACCTCCTTTAAATTTTTCATTTTCATATTTAAAACTTTAAACAATCTAACAGAAATATTCTGCAGCAATTCTAGCTTTTCAACTGTGGGGAAGAGAGAGTCCACATTGCTAGTACTGGTTATGTCAAATCCAAAACTATGCATTTTCAAAATGAAAGTTTTTAGTTGAGAACAGGCTTCACTGAGTATAACAAGATCCTGACTATCGAGAAGATAAGTTGTGAGATAAAGATATGTCAACTGTGGGCCATAACTAGAGAACGTCAAATCTTTAAACCTACACACACTTCCAACTGTCACTATGAGCATCTTCAGGTGTGGTAGAGCTTTAATGGCCTTCCCAACCGTCTTGTCATTGCCTGCTTCAGAGTGCAGAGCCAGCACTTCCAACTTAGGGCAAAGAAAGGGCAGCATCTGCAAGGTGCTGACACCCACCTCCTGGTGATCCAGGAGCATGCACTGGACAGCAATAGTTTTTTTATTGTAGTTCGCTTGATATAGGAAGTGAAGAGCATCCCGCAACAGATATTCCGAGCACTGAACGTGCTCTATCTCCGGTAACAACAGTAAGAGGGCAACTCCTTTTCCCGAGAATCCCAACTGCTCGACGGAACAGTCGTATTCATTTGCAAAAACTGAGAAGTACACACATCTTAGTTTTTTACACTGAGCCAGGTAAGCAAGTCCCACATCAGAGATTAAACTTCCTGTGTCCTCCCTGGCATCGAAGATCTTCAGATGGCAGCAATTAATCCCCAAAACAGCCAGGAGGTCATCTCCCACTAATGATCCAACAACCAACACTTGCAGGTTAGTTAAGTGACCCAAAAAGGGCAGGAATGAGAAGTACTGCATGCCCTCAGCATCCTCCACCTTGAGGTGAGTGAAGGAAGACATGAGAACTCCGTGTCTAGTAGTCTTCCAGTAGTCTAAAACCTGTTTTATGTTGGCAGATGTGATGTGGATTCTCCCTTTGAGTATTAGGATGGGTAAAAACAACTGCGTCAGCTGAGGGTCACGGTAGTACCGGCAAGAGACAGCCAAGTCTGCCAGAAGCGGGGAAGCTGGAAGGAGGTATTGATATACTGCCGAGACATGTCCACTTTGTAGACGGCAGGAACATAGCCAGCGAACAACAAATTCGTGTGTTATGCAGTATAGCCCACGCACCCTCATGATTTAGCAGCTCTTTTGATCTACGCAGAACTACTGTACTGTATATCTGAAAGAAAATCAACAATGCATATACAGTACTAGTGCACAGTATTACAATATTTTAGTATAGCATTGTATGCAGCCATGGTTCACAAAAACATTTTCTACTGCAAATTATATAACACCTCTCCACATATTTACACAAATAAGATAAAGTAGAGTTATAAACAATGAATTTTAAATACAGTATAGTACAGTACTGTACTAGTATACTCAAAAGGTAAACTGAAGCAAAATATAAACTTTAGGGGATAAAAATAAAAATATAATTTGTTATGCCCCTGGCTTTATCTTTTTTTAACCTCTGAAGGCGAAATATATTACTGTATTTGAAATATAATGAGATTTGTTGGTAATATTATTAATTGCATGATTTTGTAACACTTCATAGCCAGCCAGAACTCTCCATAACTTCCCGAATCTCCAAGTTTTGAGTCAATTTTTCTGCTGCTGCCTTGTTTAAGGGGTCCCGATAGCAGTCGGGTTCATTCTCGACGCACAACTGAGAATTCTGGGTTCGAATCCTGGGCAGGACAGAAATGGTTGAGCGCATTTAATATCACCTAATGCACCTGTTTACCTAGCAGTAAGTAGGTACTCAAGAGTTAGTCAGCTTGTTGTGGGGGGAGGGGGGGTGCATCCTGGTGGGGTCAGTAGTTCCACCCTGGGAGTGGGGTGGGTGGGGGACCTCAATATAAGCCTAACATGTATGAATACACTCTGGCTTCCTATCCTCCAACACAGTGAATTACTGTACTACAGTACTATTATTTGCTCCCCACCAACAGTTACTCCAGCACTACACTGTTGCATAAACCACTTAACAAGAGTATTGTCTAACTCTTCATGATCTGATAATTTTAGTGCTTTTCTCTCTGCACCTTTGCCACCTGTTTTGTTTTTTATTTGAACTGTAAAATCTGAATTTTCCATTTTTTTACACTACTGTATCATCACTAGTACAGAAACTGTACTAGTGATGATACTAAACATCTCTGCTAAGCTGCCTCAGTCCCCGCCCCTGCTGAATTTTCTCAATCAACACCGAAACTTCCTCCATAATTATAATTTGTGCCCTTTTTTTCTTCCCCTACCTGCTCTAGAGGGTAGGGAAAAATGCTTGCCTGTCAGCAGTAATAGGCTGTAGTCTATTACTGCTGACAGGAAAGCATTTTTTACTCAAAATAACTAGAGCAAAATGGGGGAAAATATTTGAGTAAACAGAGATCACAAAGGATGCAGAAATTATGGAAAAAAAGCTACAAGCTTACTTTATTATGCAATTTTTAGTAAATGATAAAATTTAGTAAATAAAGTACTGCAAAAAAATGAATTTGTTTACTAGTACAGTACAGTATATACTACTAATAAAAGGAAAAAAGCAACTTTTTTTGTAATTATGAGAATTATGCAGAATCACGAGGCCTATCAAGATGGCCTCATGGAGTACACACCATAAACTATAATATAAATGCAAGATTGGTTCTGCTGACAATTCCGAGCAATTCCAGCAGGGTTACTGTACTACAAAGTGTACAATGCAATTTTTATATGAACTTATTGTGTGGGTGGCCCAGTACTCACCTAGCTGTGCTTGTGGGACTTGAGCGTTGGCTCTTCGGTCCTGCCTTTTGACCATCGAGTATTGCCAACACTGGAAGTGTCCGGACCATGTTTTCTTTCCTTGTGGTTTGTATGGTGCAGTAGAAGTCATACTAACCCAGATAGGTCCAAAGAAGAGCTCTCTTAACATAGGCTACACATAAAGGGTATATGGATGGAGAAACATTAAGAATGGGGCATAAAGAGGCATAGGAGTGTTTCAGAAGCTTCAGAGGGGAGAGGCAAAAGATTTTAGGAGTGCAATACAAGAAGTGTGTTTTCGTGGTATACAATGAGAATATTGGCTGGAACGTAAATTTCTTCAGTACTTATAAATTTAAATAAGATATATTAACGTTGTATAACTGACTATTTTATAAAGGTATTAATCACACAGCATTTTCAGACAACAGAATAACAACTCACCCTTACTCCAATATGCGACATACGTCAAGCAATTGTTGGGACCCACATCTGACTGGTCAGTCGATGGCCTAGTTGATATAATTATTGTCATTAGTGGCGACTACGACCCATGGGGTCAGATGCGGTGGCTGTCCCGGTAACGTCGAGTGGGTTGTATTTCCCTACTGTCTCTTCAGATAGTCGGCACGTCCGGTGACTTGTTAAATAATTGTGATAGAGAATCTTGCCTGGGGTCGAGCCCCTCGCACAGATTCCGTCTAGTAAACTTCGCTAGCCTCACCATTCGGCTTTTACAGGAGGCACTTATCTATTACAGGTGTAGGTATAGGGGGACGCGCGACAAGCCGTCGGCTTCCTGTCCTAATAGAGGCCACTAAAGAGATAATGGCCCTCAGGTAAATTCAGGTTACATGAATGTTGCTGCTCCGGACGCTCCCGCGGGTCACCCTCGCCTTGTTGACATTCCTGGTCGGTTGTGGTCCCGGGCGGCGCCGCTCCTCACAGTATTCAATAGTCAAAATCAGATTCTTATTTATATAGAATTCAATATATGTGATTATGCTGCAATATTTGTATACACCTAGAATGTGTAGTCTTTATAAAGCCCCCAATAAATGTGGTCAGCGTTTCAGGCAAGTCTTTTGACTGAGTATGATTGACAATATAAAATACAAATATTCTCAGTATCTGTGTGACGTAATTATCTCCAGTAGCCTCTACGAGGACAGGAAGCCCTGAGCCATTATCTCTAGTAGCCTCTACGAGGACAGGAAGCCCTGAGCCATTATCTCTAGTAGCCTCTACGAGGACAGGAAGCCCTGAGCCATTATCTCTAGTAGCCTCTACGAGGACAGGAAGCCCTGAGCCATTATCTCTAGTAGCCTCTACGAGGACAGGAAGCCCTGAGCCATTATCTCTAGTAGCCTCTACGAGGACAGGAAGCCCTGAGCCATTATCTCTAGTAGCCTCTACGAGGACAGGAAGCCCTGAGCCATTATCTCTAGTAGCCTCTACGAGGACAGGAAGCCCTGAGCCATTATCTCCAGTAGCCTCTACGAGGACAGGAAGCCCTGAGCCATTATCTCTAGTAGCCTCTACGAGGACAGGAAGCCGGCTAGTTGATAATGCATAAGGGGGGGGGGCTTTAAGATTTTATGAGCAGTAGTTTGAGATTGACATTGTGACGAAAGCAAAGCGCCAACCTCCATATATGGCTGTTGCACAGCCATATATAATAATTCATTGTGTCGGGGACAGGCAGGCAGAGGATATTCTTACACATTTGGCTTTTATCCAGGTCCACCTCCCCCCGAAGGTCGAATTACTGACCCCGCCCAGGAGGCAACCCCACAACAAGCTGACTAACTCCTGAGTACCTACTCACTGCTAGGTGAACAGAGGCATGAGGTGACAAGAAATGTGCTCAGCCATTTCTGTCCCGCCCAGGAATCAAACCCGGAATTCTCGATTAGACACAGAAATCGCAATAGCGTTGCATCAAATGAACAAATCGATTAAGGCAGCGTCAGACGTAGGTTCGAACCCTCGTCACGGCCCTTGTGGATTTGTTCATTTGATGCATCACGCTATTGTGATTCTGTGTGTAATGAAGTAAGGGCGAAGAGGTGGAACAGCCTATTAACAGAGCTCGGCTGCACGGGGGAATTGTGTAAAACCCTCTGGTTTGTGTCTCTGAGAGAGACAAACACAAAGGCACTTAATCCTAGACCATTGTCATTATCATGCATTCCATGCAAACATTCATGGAAAGGTCATCATAAAAAGGATCGTAGAACAGTTGGAGAGTAAATTTTATAACAGGCACAATACAGCTTCAGTGGGAAAATCAGGCATAACAAAATGGATTGAATTCTATGACGGTCACCAAAATAAGACAGCAGAAGGAAGGGTAAACTGCACCTTCCAGGATTGCCAAAAAGCCTTTGATGCAGTTCCTCACAAGAGACTAATACACAAGATACAGAGGTAAAAGGAAAAGCATTGGACTGGGTACAGGAGTACCTGACTGACAGGAAACAAGGGGGTCATAATCAAAGAGGGTAATGTCAGCTGAAGACTGGAAAGTGGTGTTCCACAGAGCTGTCCTGGGACCATTGTTCTATTACTTTTTTAAATCTGCTGAAAGCGTGTCATGTAGTCCTGTGCCTCGAGTGTCTTGTATTTGCAAGTCGTGACCCACTTGAGAAGTTCATGTACAGTACTGTATTTTACTATGCCTCAATATATAGTTTTTGCTCTCCACTTTCCTGTATACCTGTCATCTGCAAATTTGACACCATTGTCATTGATGTGTTCTCAATAGCATTAAGAAAATGGTAACTGGAACAACTTATTATGAAGACTGCATCTCTCACCAGATCAACAGATACTTACGATTATGAAGTACCCAGCAGAACACAAAAATATGTTTAAATGTTGATCGTTATATTAAAAAAAATAATCTGGTTTGCCTGTTGGGATGCCACAAGAGTTGACATCACCTACTCTCACATACTCCAGCTTTCTCTAACACTTCTCTATCTTTCTCCATCCTCTCGGCTAGCTCTTCACCAATCCCAGGGATGGGAAACGGGTTAATAAAAATGATGATCAAGGTTAATAAATTATGATAATGGCCAAGGCTAATAATTGTGATGATAGAGGTGATACAGTATTGTATAGATGACAAATAAAACAAAGTTCATTAAATTAAACTAGAGAGCTACAATTTTTATTATATGACAATACATTAAAAATCCTATACTGTACTGTGCTGAATAGTGTATACTACAGAATTAAACCTGTAACATGTAACAAAGTATTGAAACACATTACAATACATATCTATATCTATAAACATCAGAACATTAAAATTTTCATAAAAACAAAAACATCTTTGGTTCAACCTATGGCATGACAAACATTGGAAGCCATGTCATTATAGAGACAAATCAACCCATTCCAAGCTGGCCGCACTTTTCTGGGTGAAATTGGTTAGGATTGATTAAGTTAGGTCGTTAGGTTAGACGCAAATTGAAAATGGAGCCTCTGAATGAAACCGATTGTTCACCAACAGCTCAAGAAAATCGTAGAAGTCTATTAGCCCAAACAAGGCAGTTTCTGTTTATACCCATATATATATGTTTCTGTCTGTCACCTGATCAACCAGGCTGTGACTCATACGTCAGGGTGTGAGTAGCCGCGTCCAACAGCCTGGTTGATCAGTCCAGCAACCAGGAAGCCTTGTCAACGACCGGGCCGCGGGGACGCTAAGCCCCTGAAGCACCTCAAGGTAACCTCAAGGTAAGATAACCCAATCATTTATAATGCATCAGCTGCAGCAGATTCACTCAGCCTCATTAAATATGGATTACCCTGGGGAAAACTACACAGTTTAGGCAATTGATAAAATTTCACAAGAAATTGAGTCGTGCATATCAAAAAGAACTATCAGCATGGCATCAGTCATCAGATTTGAGTAAATTAACAAAGCTATCATGCTTGAGGCCAACCAAATCATCCACAAGTTACCCTAATTGTTTATAGTCATAATCAGATCTAATTTAGAAGGCAGATATAAAATAAATCATTACCATTAATCACCAACGTCATAAAACTAAAGTCTGTTGCATGGGACTAGCACTGAAGTTCTTGATAAATAAATCTTTAACTTACAAAATTAAAGAAAATAATCAGTATTAATTATATAATTGCAGACACATAGCTGTAGTTGCATATACAGTATAGTACATTGCTACAACTGTGTAGACAGTGCTGCAGCTGTATATACATTGCTGCATCTGTGCTGACATTACTGCAGTTGTATATACATTGCTACAACTGTGTATACAGTGCTGCAGTTGTACATACATTTCTGCAGTTGTATATACATTGTTGCACCTGAACAGAATTACTGGGGTCATATGGCAAACACAGTAAAATTATCACTTCAAGACAACATATGCCGTATAGCAAATAATTCCACAATAAATAATATAAAGGCAAAAATGGTCTCCAAAGATATTCACACTCAAATACTTTTCATGGGTACAGATTCAGCTTTGTACTTATTTAATATACTGTATTCTAATCATTACCAAGTTTAATGATTTGCCACCTCATTAAGTTCAATTATATTACTTGTATTAGTCATAAAAGAATAAATCTTGGACACGAAAGAAATAACACCTTTTCCCTTAGTGTTCAAATTGTATTGTTCCATTTTCTATCAAATCGCCAACTTTATGGTAGAAAAATTTGCTGCCAATAATTCTTTCAACCCAAATGTCACTAAGATTAAATGCTCATGAATCAACAACAAATGTTTGTTTCTGTTGTTTAACAAGAAACTTGAGCATTGTATAGAACTTTTGCTTTGTAAATTTGTGAATGACATAGTATTAGAGTGTAAAGCAACACAGTATTGGCTTTACTGTCTTCAAGAATATGCATCTGTAACTACTTTATATAAAGAAGTCACAACCAGTATGCAGTGTTAGACCAGCAAATAAACTTTTTTTGGCCTAGAATATTTGCACGGATGTTTCTCTCAGACTCGGATAAGCACCAGATGCATCCATTATCCACTGTCAAGCCAAGTTATGGTATATGTTCTGTGGGCGACAGCACAACAAAAATGATAATAACTCGCACATTCTTGCTTCACTAAAGTGTCAAGGTCCTCAAATATTGCAATACAATCCCTTTAGGTGGTATTTTAATACAGTGTAAGATAATCGACAAATTCAGAGCAAGTGAAAACTTTGAATTTGTTACAAAACTACAAAAAGCTCTGAACTGAAAATTGTAGTAATGAGTGGACTAGCAGAATGAAATATAAAGTAGCAGTAACGAATACTTTAAGCCACCAAACAATTTTCTTTAATACCAAACCAGAATTTTTCGCGAAGTGAAAACTAAGCCTGCAAACAGGAGTCCGAAGTCACCTGTGTGAAATAAAAGTTTGGAAAAAAAAAAAAAAGCATTTAAGCACCTTTGTTTTCGTAGCTTGCATTTACAACCTTTTCTTCAGCCTACCAGTTTTAGCACTCTTAACACCTCCAGTCCCTTCTCATAACTAGCACATTTTATTGCTGTTTTTATTTTTTAAGATATTGGCACCATGCAATTGCTGCATATTCTAGTTCAGGTCTGACAAATGAGTGTGTGTATGTGTTTTTGGAGTGAGAATATGAGAGAGAGAGAGAGAGAGAGAGAGAGTGCATGAGAGAGAATGTGTGGCAAGTACTTGACTTGAATCACTCAAGAGATAGTAATGTTTACACTGAAAGAAAAGGCTGCTGTAGCCTAATCCAAAGCTCATCCATCAACTGTCACCTCAACCCTTGGAAGGGAAGGAGAGAGAGAGAGAGAGAGAAAAAAAAAATATTTGGGCCATGTGTGGCTTTCCTGGATTAGCGGCCAATAGTGTTCATTATTTTTATAAGCAAATGAAATGTGTACAAGTCAGATACTCAAGACAAAAAAAGAGACAGACACAAAAAATGTACGCGTGTATAACACTGTGCATTGACAACCGCAAGGTCCCAGGTTCGATTCCTACTCGGGACAGACGTTTCAGCAAGTTTCCTTCCCGTTATTGCTTCTGTTCACCTAATAGTAAACAAGTGCCCCACGAGTTGGATAACTGTTGTAGGCTCCATCCCAAGGAAGAGCAACCATTATTTTAGGGAAACTTCGACAAGCTCGACAGCCTTTTTGTCCCAAAAAAATGGGGAAGGGAGGGAGGGAACTATCAGGGGAAAATGCCAAGTCATTACGGCCATATAGCACTTGCATGGGTTCAGGATAAGGACTTGGGATGGGACGGGGGAGGGAATGGTGCCCAACCACTTTGACGGACGGGGATTGAACCCAGACCTGCACGAAGTGAGACCGTAACTCTACCGTCAAAATTATTCATTCTTATTTAAATCTTGTGTGCATCACTCTGAGAATCATAACTTTTAATGTAAATGACATGAGGAGTCCAAGAACAATGTTTCCAGATACATGTTTCTTTGATATTTAGCCATAAAACTTAAGCATAGTTACTATAAACTAGGTGTAAACAAATACAAAAAATTGGCCAAAATGTTTTACATTCATTTTAAATTTACAATTTTAACTATAGCCATTTTGATGGCATCAATGACAAGAGAGTTTTATAGTCATATTAGAGGAAATTTTCAATTTATGCTTTCCAATAAAAAAAAAATTATGAATCTGGCGTTTTAATCATTTTTACCCCCCAAAAAATCTATCTATAAAAAATTAAATTCAAAACTCAAACACAAATATAAAGCCTGCAAAGTTGTGTAGCATGTGAATATATCATCGACCTCAAATGAAAATTAAGACACAAAGTTCATCTTTTGAGACAAATTTTCAATCCAAAGAAATGCACCATAAATCGTCAACATCCCTTTTCAATTATATAACTTTGTAAACACAATGACTTGCATATAGTTAATCTGGTTATGTTTCATATCCTTATAGAAAAATAAATGCAAAACAATATACTAGTTGGCAACATTAGTGTTGCAAGATTTTGCTGTGATTAAAACTTTAAAAGAAAACACTTAAAAAACTGACCAATCTCTTTCATATGAAGCTAAAAATCTTGGCTTTAAAATGATAATGAACAAATTTACAATAGAATGAAATGACTGAATCGAGTCAGGAGCCCCTAAGAAGACGGGAGTAGACCGACAAGCAGAGCGCGCGCTTGGTATACTTTCAAGGGCAGACTGACAAGCAGAGCGCGCGCTTGGTATACTTTCAAGGGCAGACTGACAAGCAGAGCGCGCAATTGGTATACTTTCAAGGGCAGACTGACAAGCAGAGCGCGCAATTGGTATACTTTCAAGGGCAGACTGACAAGCAGAGCGCGCAATTGGTATACTTTCAAGGGCAGACTGACAAGCAGAGCGCGCAATTGGTATACTTTCAAGGGCAGACTGACAAGCAGAGCGCGCACTTGGTATACTTTCAAGGGCAGACTGACAAGCAGAATGCGCACTTGGTATACTTTTCAAATGTGTGTTCTTTCTTTCTTTCTTAATATTTGTTATATTAACACTTGCAAATACAAATCCTATTGTATTTGTGTCTGGAAAGTGACCAAGATATTCTATAGTAATGTTCAGGTGTGTTTTGTAACAAATTAAAGGCTGCCCATGCTGACTTTAATTATAATTGAGTGAGCAATTACCAACATTAACACAAAATCAAAAATGCTTCTGGCAATGTATGATAATTAGCTCTTACAAGCAACTTATTTGCATTGTGCAGTTAAAATTATATATTTTATATAAATATGAATTTAGTACATGTCTAACTCTTTAGGCAATTTTTGATTATTAATACACACAATGCTTATTATACAGTGTTAAAAATACATCATGGAGAGTAATATTGTATTGCTGCCCATATACAATCATGTGGAAACCCATACTTGGAAATAAATAGAAGAAATTATCAAAATCTAGCTTGATATACACGGAAAATATTTGGATATTTAGATCCACACCAAGGTCTGGGTGTAGAGTGAATATTTGTTATAGTAGTGAACTTCAGTGTTTAGTATTGACATTTACCATAAAATGATACCCTATTGCAAAAAATCATTACCAAAAGAAATAAAACCATATTGGTAATTAATCTACAAGAAAAAGGCCAACAAAGTAATTATCAAAAGAAAATACAAAACCTGGAAGATATTTGGCACTGTCTGCAGTGCACAGCAGTGAGAAAGTCTGACATATCATTCACGACGCTAATACGATGATGGCAGCAGGACACGACTTATATGGTGACAAAAGCGCACCAAAGCAATCCACCAACGCTTATCAAACAAATAATTGCATATCATTAATCCTGAATACGTCAGGAACACAAAATATTCTATACTCAAAATACTTTCTCCAGCGAACCAGGCACACCAGTCGGACATCAGCCCAAAGAGAGCAATGCAACCGATGCCTAGACAACCTGACATTCCATCCTTCTAGCACTCTACCTACCCCAAACACCATTTCCACCTCCCCCCCCCACCATGTATCTATCGGCATGAATTTCACCACTCCCAACCCCAAGAACTTCCATACACACACACACACGGACTATTTAAAACCATTACTTGAGTATGGAGCTCCAGCATGGAGCCCACATCTTGTGAAGCACAAACTTGAGGGAAGTTCAGAAATTTTCAACCAAAACCAAAATTGAAACACCTCGATGCAGAAAGGACGAGAGGAGAGAATTCCCCCTCACAACATGAGAGCAGAGAAGAAACTGGGGGGGGGGGGGGGGGTATATGATAACTACATACTTCTGTCAACTACATACTTCTCGACAGTTTTGTCGAACTGTCGAGACATGGAATGATGAAAACAACATTGAGACAGGGAATTAGTGGGTCAGATACAGCAGGGGCATAAAAAACTAGATCTTGCTTCCTCCCCCCTTCCCCCTCCTCCCCACAGCCACTGATAGGCAAGTACACCCTTCCCGGCTGCCCTCTATCTTCCTCACCATGCAATAACCCCCATTCAAATTTCCCACCACCAGAACAACCTCCTACACCAGTGGAATCAAGGGTGAAAAGTGAGAACGGACAAAAGAGAGTGATGCTTCAAGGTAATGTGCTCGGACATAAATAATAATACAGATAAAGCAAACGAACTTGGGGAAAAGATCTCGAAAAGAAAACCCGGATGTAATAGCACCCAAAGAAGTGAAATTGTCAAGTCATAACAAATGAGGTGTTTCCTCAGGAATACTTAATAGTGAGGAGGAATGAGAGGGAGGGGGAAGTGGGCCTGCTGATAAGTAAGTAATTATCAAAAGAATGCACCAAGTTGGGGAGGCTATGAGCACCGTCAAATGTGCGGGACATTCAAAAAGAACTAAATATCACCAAGGATGCCAATACAAGAACAAAAGCACATAAGGCGAATAACATCAAAGGTTTCCGATTCACCGAGGATTCTATCGAGGGACAGTCAGGAGGGCCGGCTGATAAAAGAAGTTTCTTTATAGAGCTTTCAGGAGATACTGTGGTAGATTCAGAGACTACATAATAGGCACCATGATAATGGGAGGACAAAAGGTAGTAGCAGTAGTGATATATATAATCCTCCACTAAATGCCAAGACCCAGTTAGGCATGACAGAAACATGGCTATTATTACTGTAATAGAAAAAGAAATCTCTGTTGCCTTTTAGAAATGCATCCCAACTACTAATTATGCTGCGAGACTTCAACACTGGAAATATAGACAGAGCAGAAAACCACATGGAGAGATATATAGAGCTAAGCTTTTGGATGCAACACCAATAAAGTTTTCAAGTTATTTTGTCAGGGGACCCACATGAAAGAGAATGACGAGCCAACTAGACTTGACCCGATTGTCACACTGAACGAGTTGGACATAAGGGAAACGAAATTGCTCGCTCCCATGGGAATGATTATAGTGTATTGATGTTGAGTATCAGGCAGAAGCAAGAAGAACCTACTCAAGGAAGAGATCAGAAATTAAGAGGCTGGCATCATGCAGGGAAAATCATGAAGCTATCAAACTGTTTAATAAATGTAAACAAAGATACCATGATTAAGGAAAGATGTACAGGGTTTTTGTAAGTGGCTGCATAAATGCTTCACGAATCCTGGCATTGGAACCATACTAATTGCAACAAGGAAAATCTGGCATTAACATCACCACCACCTGCACTGACTCCAATACCTGCAAATGATCCAACATCAGATATTGCTTCCACCGTTTCATTAACAGGATGGTCACACACCTAGCACGAGGCCCTTCCGCTCATGACCCCAAGTCACATGTGCACAGGTTAGCCCAGTGTAGCTGTGTGCACGTCATGCCGAACACCAGAAATACACCATTACTCTCTGACCATCTGGAAAGGTGCCAAGTGTCAGACCAAAAAGAGAATTATACATTCAGATAAAGACAGTTTATTATAGAAGAATTACTGGCAAATAGTTAATAAACTACTGTACATAAGATTCATTTATTTTTTTAAATATCTGCTTAAAGAGTTGAAAAGTAGTGCCAAATATTTCACATGTCCAGTAACTTGGCACATGCCAATTGCACTCTTAAGACTCGTTACAGTGACCAGAGAAAACTGGGTTAATTGCACGATACTGAACACCAGCAAGCAATAATCTTTGGTGTATATACATATATGAATATATATTTTTGTTGTTGGGTGGCCGTAGGTCTCTCAGACACTAGATGTGCCGAGACAACCCACGACATGTTGTTGGGTGGCCGTAGGTCTCCCAGACACTAGATGTGCCGAGACAACCCGCGACATGTTGGGTGGCCGTAGGTCTCCCAGACACTAGATGTGCCGAGACAACCCGCGACGTTGTTGGGTGGCCGTAGGTCTCCCAGACACTAGATGTGCCGAGACAACCCGCGACATGTTGTTGGGTGGCCGTAGGTCTCCCAGACACTAGATGTGCCGAGACAACCCGCAACACGTTGTTGGGTGGCCGTAGGTCTCCCAGGCACTAGATGTGCCGAGACAACCCACGACATGTTGGGTGGCCGTAGGTCTCCCAGACACTAGATGTGCCGAGACAACCCGCGACACGTTGTTGGGTGGCCATAGGTCTCCCAGACACTAGATGTGCCGAGACAACCCACGACATGTTGGGTGGCCGTAGGTCTCCCAGACACCAGATGTGCCGAGACAACCCGCGACACGTCATATTCGCTGGAGATCACGCATGCACCACCCTACAGCACAATGTAAAAAATGGCACAAGATACATTCATAAATAGATATATTTGATGCAAGCCTATGATAAATTTGCAAACGTGCAATGAACACCTTATAAATCTCGATATAAAATTTCAAAGTCGATTTACCTACATAAAGCCGCAACAGTAAAAAAATAGTAAATTAAGTATGGTTACAATTGGTACTCAAAGAAGACTATCAAACGTTTGCACAATGTCCCCTAAAACATTATACACCTTCTCTATAGTGTCTTCTCTCTTGAGTGGCCTCTCGGAGGACCTTGGGCTAGCACCTACACACGACGTGTTGGCCCGGCCTTCCAACCCCGAGGCCGTGGGAATGAGAGGTGGAGGGAGGGGAGGCTGGGGACCTTCCAGCGGAGGGGGGAGTGGGTCAGGCGTGCTGGCGAACTGATGCATGTGGCCAGTGTCGCATGGTATACTGGGAATGCGACCTCCCTGGATGGTGAATCCAGAATACGACGACTGAGGGCAAGGACGAGGAGGCGGTCGAGAGGTGCCGTACGGAGAATTCCGCGACGACCCGAGTGAACTGACTCTGGGACTGATTGGTGGCGGAGCGATTGAATGTCTGGGAGGTAATGGAGGTGGTGTAGCAGAGTTGGTGCGCTGGATGAAGGGCAATGGAGGAGCTGCCGCCGAGCTGGCAGACTGAATAAAGGGGTTTGTGAGCGAGACGGCCGAGTCAAGAGCAGGTGGAAGGTTCCCAGAACTCATTTTCTTCAAGCCTTCATCTTCAAGTGGGCCAAATGAATCTAATAGATCAGGTAGGGATGACATGTTGGATGGCGGTGAATCGTCAAGGAGAGTTTTATTTTCAGAGCACTTTATAGTTTCCACACCAAGATGGGTGTGTGCACCTTTGTCACTAGCATCCAGTGATGACAACAGTCCAGAGTCCAAGCCTGACAAACCCTGCAGGAAGGACAAGCTCTGCTGAGCTGCTAAAATATCTGGACTGAGAGGGGGAGCATCTGTTGTCTGCGGAGCTTTTAAACTGCCGTCTTCACTCTTGCCACCTTCTTCGGCAGCTTTGGGTTTGTTGCCATCCATGGTCTGTGGACAACATTACATGTGTTATAGTTTACAAATTAAAAAATAACTATGAATTAGTATTTACTACACGATCCTTCATTACTGCAAGTTGGAAAGGTGAGGCCGAGGAGCAGAAGGTCACCCCTGCACTCTGGCAGGCAAGAATTATCAGGCAAGAACCAGGGGAAACCTCAAGCACAAAAGTTGTATACATGACAGGTGTACAAGAGGGGGAGCCGGTCGGCCGAGCGGACAGCACGCTGGATTTGTGATCCTGTGGTCCTGGGTTCGATCCCGGGCGCCGACGAGAAACAATGGGCAAAGTTTCTTTCATCCTATGCCCCTGTTACCTAGCAATAAAAATAGGTACCTGGGTGTTAGTCAGCCGTCACGGGCTGCTTCCTGGGGGTGGAGGCCTGGTCGAGGACCGGGCCGCGAGGACACCAAAGCCCCAAAATCATCTCAAGATAACCTCAAGATAACAAGGCCAGCAGGCGACACAGAGCTAGACCTCACTTCCCAGTAGTCACTCAGAGTATTAATAGCCAAGTACAGTATGGCTAAACCACAGCTCTACCTCTACACCAGTTAACATTATTCAGTTTAAAACTAATAAAATTCCTAAAAAAAAATATATTTACACAAATGAAAATAAAAAGGCCCAAAAAAAAAGTACCTGCAAAGAAAATAAGTACATCATGCTCGGTCAGTGTGGGACGCATCACCCACCTGCGGAGTGAGGGGCGGCGGCAGCAGCTCTGACACTGGCACCTCCTCGTCAATGTCCGCCTGCCGGGGTCGGATGGTCAGGGGCGTCCGCTCGAGGACACCAGCAACCTCTCTAGTCACACTTTCCTGCAGTAAACCATTCCCAATAATACAGTGTATAACAAGTTGACGTGTCTGTGCTCTTCTCATACTTTCACCTAAACCTCATTAAACCCTCTTAATTCCCTTCAGGTGTGTGGCCAAACACCCCACCACATGTGTGTGTGTGTGTGTGTGTGTGTGTGTGTGTGTGTGTGTGTGTGTGTGTGTGTGTGTGTGTGTGTGTGTGTGTGTGTGTGTGTGTGTGTGTGTGTGTGTGTGTGTGTGTGTGTGTGTGTGTGTGTGTGTGTGTGTGTGTGTGTGTGTGTGTGTGTGTGTGTGTGTGTGTGTGTGTGTGTGGGGCCAAACACCCCACTAGGTAGGTGGGTATTTAGTGTAGCATGCACAAACTGCCAAGCCACTACACACACCTGTACATCGTCCATCTCCTGCACGAGCGAGTCGGACTCCGCAAGAAGGCGATCCATCCGTGCCTGAAGGTCATCGAGCGTCTTCAGATTCTGCTGCATGATCCTCATGCCCTGTAGGTAGGAATTACATGCACTCTCAAAAACAAACGATTAAGACCCATAAAATAAAATGCATGTCCAACATTGGCAGATGTTTGGGGCCAGCCTCATTCAACTTTTCATGATGATTGGTAGGTGTTAAGGGACTGTCATAGGTAGGTTGGGAAGCGACCCCATTGCCACCCTTAAAAGGGAATCGGCTCCCACTGTCACCACATCCCTCCATCTACACCTTACGGAACATGTTAGACGCTCACCTCACACAGCCAGACGCCTCCGTCTACAGCATTTGGGGGCAATGCTACACCCGACATGTAGCGTTCAAATTCATCCGTTGTCAACCCTAAACTCTCTGCTGTCATTTTCTCTATGAAGGCCACTGCACAACACTGAAAAAAAATTGTCAAAAGCTATTACTTCACATAAATACAGCATTAAATGTAAATAACTGCCCCTTTCTGCTGGGACCCCCATGGTGGCTTTTTCTTCAAAAACTTACCATTAAATATTACATAAATGTTAATGGAAAGTCAATAACATCAACTTATCAAATACCATTTGAGGTACATACCATGGAAAAACATTTGTACAAAAGAATCTCTCCATGTTCATAAAGGCATTAAGGTAATCACGTGTCTGATAAAAACAACTGCAATGCACTTCTTTTTTTCCGAACTACTCTGCAACAATCATCACCACGGCAAGATCCACCCTAGTCCAAATGTAATGGACCACAACAAGCCTTCACCCGACAACCTAAATCTTTCCAAACATCGTCGTCGTGTGATGGTAGTGCTAGGGGGCCGCCTTGCACAAGTTCATCCATAACACTAAGCCTTTCCAAGTCCTACTTAGTCTCACAAAACTTCCAAGTACTGATGTTGCAAACTGCCAATTAGCTTACGTGACCAGTACCCTCCCTCAAGTCCAAGATGGCAGCACCGATGCCAGCATCCAGTACACTGCCTCGAGTCCACCAAGATGGCAGCACCGATGCCAGCATCCAGTACACTGCCTCGAGTCCAGCAAGATGGCAGCACCGATGCCAGCATCCAGTACACTGCCTCGAGTCCACCGAGATGGCAGAACCGATGCCAGCATCCAGTACACTCCCTCGAGTCCATTCACAGTCTTCCCAATTTCTCTTTCCAACTATTAATGGGCTCAAAATATAGGATCAGTCAAGCACTTTCATTTTCACTGTGCAGCGAGTTCGTGCTTTGTATTCACTTTTATAGTACTTTCACCATTCAGAATGGCTTAGCACTTTCTCCTCATAATTACCTTAAATTGCATGTACTCTATGGAAAAATATGCTCTCTCGACATAACTGTTGACAAGTCCAGAGCGGCCGCCTCTGGCAGTGGGTTCTGCATCTTTAGGCTTCCGCTACATCTACAGTAATAATCCATGACGAAACATTTATATTGGTCCCTCTACCTTGGGTACATTCATTTACTCCCTGGGTCTGGCCGTCACAAAGTTCATGGCATTTTATTTTTCTTTAACTTACTGGCTACCCTCATCAATAACACCTGCCTTGACCTTCTGGACTTCTGATCAATTTTGGCCAATTGAGAGAGTAGTAACATGTTACAATTGATTGTTCATCAATTGAGACATCCCACTCATTGTAATTTGCACAAATGGGATGCCATATGCAGTATATGAAATTCAATGGCCACTCCTCCTATCTCCAGGATCCACACTGCTGGGCTCTCGTCTCTGTTCCAACCTCGGGCTTTTCAGTCAGGTGTGTAGCGGCTTAGACCCTGCTTCAACCATCACTACAGCAAGCAACTTACATTGTGGCTCCAGAGCTTCAAGCTCCTGCACATAAAGGTCATTGAAGGGCACCGTTCTTAGCGTCTGCACTATGAATACATCATAAGACCTCCATCCCCCTCTCCCTCACACCCTCTATAAGAGGTTCAAACGACAGGCAAGTCGAGTCCTCAGGATCGGAAGGACTCGTGTTAGGATGTGATTAGCCTCGAGGCAAGGGACCAGGTAATTGTATGGGTGCTACCTTCTGGTTGTAGACGAGTGTAACAGCCAAGTTTGCAAACGGGGCGGCTTGCAAAAGTGCTACTTGGCAGCTTGTATGATAGCAAGCAAGGCATGGAAAGGTCGGAGTGTTACAAAGTGAACTTTCAGCGGTTAGTTTGAACTGGATCAAGATTTTCACCAGTGAATCCCTAGCACAAACATAACTTTGACATGAATGCTTAAAACTTCCCATTGTGCTGGTGCAAAGTGTTATGATTTATGCCACTGAGACTAGGATGGATCTTGTGTTAGGGAGCATCCAAGTGTACTGGTCTGAAAGATCTCAAGTCACTTCAAGCCTCATTTGTTTCAACATTATACATACCAAATTGGTGAAAAAATACCCAGCTTCCCCACTCTGTAGGCTGCTCTGCTGGGCAAAGTTGGTAATATAAGCGATATTACTGTGGAGGAGTGGTGGGCTGGCCTGCAGCACACAGTAAATGAGAGCTGGAAGGAAGTCGTCTGCAGATGCGGGGACGCCACCTCTCGACTGCTTCAGGAGATTCAACACGTGGTGGCTGGACGAAACGAGGCACTTCAGCTTGTCAGACGGGACTCGCTTGCTGTTCATCTCTATCAGTTCTGTGAAGAGAGGAAATGTTCAGACTCTCGAGCCACTTCAAAATATCGCACAGACAGAGCGCACTCATTTCTTACCCCTGCAAGTTGGCAGAGGCACTAAGATTCATTCCTACAAGCCCTACTAGTCATACCCATTTATACATCTCAATTGTTTTTTCCCCACTATCTCCCAGCCCCGGTGCATAGCAAATTTGTCAACAATGAGAGCAGGATTCACATCCACACCAACGGCACATGCAACAACACTCGTCTTGCAATTTCTAAAGCTACTGTTTGCTGATAATGCATGGTCTTTATAGAGAAATGCTATGGATTCAATAATCCTGGTTAATATACCACATATGTACCACAGCCTTGCACTGTGGAACAAACTCTTAAGTGCAGTGAAGCATTTTTGAACAAATCAACAAGAGCTATGATTGAGAGACACAAACTCCGGTTTGTGTCTTGGAGAGGCTGCAGGATCCGTGTGAGGGCAGTAGCACTCCCAGTTGCAATACACTTTACCACGTCGTGGCACAGTTGACCAAGGCGCGTCTGGGATCATTACCGGACACAGGTTCAAACCCTCATCACGGCCCTTGTGGATTTGTTTATTTGATGTATCACGCTATTGTGATTTGTGTGTAAACAGTTTTGACTTTTTCTCAATGAATTATACCAAGAAGTATAGGCTATGGAAGGGACTGTAAAATGACTATTGACATCACAACCTACAACAACGTGAAGGAAATGCCAAGGATTGGTGTGAGAACCAGCTATACCCCCATAGTCTCAGTACAAGGACCCCCACACAGTACATTACTGGGTACAGCACACAGCTGTGCAGTAACCATACATTGTGCTCAACTGTCAACTTGGGCTTCAACCACTTTGGATAATAGAGTCACCAGTAGAGGGGAAAATATTAGTATACAAAATGCAAGTGAAGAAGCATCTATTCACATTTCATGCCAATTTCTTGAGCTGGTCATAATTTATAATTATTTCTTTCCATCAGAAATATTAGCTAAACATGGAATAAAACATATATGGAATTACCCTTCACAATCCACCAGCTTCTATCTCGCCATATAAATACAAAGTTGTATCTGAATCTCAAGACGACTACTAGATTAAAAAAAAAAAACGTTGCTTATGCAGGTTTGAAGACAAAAGGTAATGAAAAGTGAATGTAGTTTTCAGCATAAGAATAGCCGAGTTTGAACTAAATTATGCACCAAAACCTCTTGCTACAGTAAGGAATTGGCAGGAAAATCAAGCTCTCGGCCAGGGTAAACTCCCAGCTGTGTGAGCCAGAGTAACACACCAGCTATACCAGCTGTGTCGGCCAGAGTAACGCACCAGCTGTGTCGGCCAGAGTAACACACCAGCCGTACCAGCTGTGTCAGCCAGAGTAACACACCAGCTGTGTCGGCCAGAGTAACACACCAGCCGTACCAGCTGTGTCAGCCAGAGTAACACACCAGCTGTACCAGCTGTGTCAGCCAGAGTAACACACCAGCTGTACCAGCTGTGTCGGCCAGAGTAACACACCAGCTGCGTCGACCAGCGTGAAGGCCTCAACACTTACCAGTTATAACAAGGTCCAACGTCTCCCTTACTTCATCACTCGTCTCCTTCACCCCACATTCCAAGTGCTGGCTGCTTACCCACGCAAGACTTCGAATTCTGAAGACACAGGATGAAAGAGTAAGATCTATGTGAAGTCATAACACATAACTTAAAAAGCAGAAAGCAATGATAGGCTGTACAAAAAACAATACAAAAAAAGTGTTGAATGTAATGAAATGCTTCTTTCTTGGGGGGGAGGGGGGGGGGGGGGTTTGGCTCCTTGTTGCTAGCCGCACTGAAACAGTTTCACACTCCTAGATCCCATCAGCCCTAGGAGTCCTTATAATAGGCTACTGCATACCAGGGGCAAGAAACTCTTCCCCCATCACGGAGGGCCCATAATATTCAGATTGTGGCTTTGACCACAGTAGTTTCTCTTGTCTATACTAGGCCGACATCTGGGCTCAGGACCGGGCTCGGGACCGGGCTGATGACCTAGCTCAGGACCTCAGGATCATTATAAACATGAAGGTACTGTATATGCAACTTATTTTAAGCTAGTCTTTGTAGATGCAACACCAGCGTTAGAGACCTGATCAACCACAGACAGGATTCACCAAGCAGTTACAGAAGTATGTACTTACGAACCTGTACACCTCTTCTCATTCTTTGGCGCCATTTATTAAACAGTTTATAAGCTCCGAAGCACCAGGAGGCTGTCTAAGACAATAACACTTGATTGGAAAGTTCTAATGCTCGTAAAGTTTTTAGATTCCCTGAACAGGTAACCAGGATGAATAGAAATATCCCTCTCATTTGGATACCCAACTCAACAATCTGAAAATAAAAGAACTGACTATTTAGTCCATCCTGGACATTTAACCAGTCATTACACTACTTGATAATTGTCCAGGACGGACTGAAACATCGTCAATTCCTTTATCTTCAGATATGTGGCCCGAGCGTCTAATTTTCAGCGGCGTTATTGAGATTTATTGTCTACATCACTTTCACATGTGGGGGGGGGGGGTATTTGTCTCAGCCTTGCTATTGTACTTATTCTCTGCTTGCCAACCATAGTGCTTGCCATAGTGCTTGCCAACTCCACATCTTTCCATGACATTTTCATTCCATACTATCCTCCTAACTTGACAAATACCTCTCAAAATGTCCATTTCTACAACTGTAATTCGGCATTTCTCATGCCACAGCAGCACGCAACATCCGAGAACATGGGGGCCAACACAATTACTCTATGTCAGCCTTCTGGCTGCCTCTCCCATCTTTTACTTCCCACCGTTCCCTTCCCTTCCCAGATTTACTCTTCTCTCAACTTCTCCCACCCAAAAGTCCTCTCGTCCATTACATCCCCGGGCAGTTATAAAAGGTGGACACGGGCAAGACAAATTAGTCAGCACTAGACATGTGTGTGCGGCAGAGGTGGCAAGACAGTTATAAAAGGTGGACACGGGCAAGACAAATTAGTCAGCACTAGACATGTGTGTGCGGCAGAGGTGGCAAGACAGTTATAAAAGGTGGACACGGGCAAGACAAATTAGTCAGCACTAGACATGTGTGTGCGGCAGAGGTGGCAAGACAGTTATAAAAGGTGGACACGGGCAAGACAAATTAGTCAGCACTAGACATGTGTGTGCGGCAGAGGTGGCAAGACAGTTATAAAAGGTGGACACGGGCAAGACAAATTAGTCAGCACTAGACATGTGTGTGCGGCAGAGGTGGCAAGACAGTTATAAAAGGTGGACACGGGCAAGACAAATTAGTCAGCACTAGACATGTGTATGCGGCAGAGGTGGCAAGACAGTTATAAAAGGTGGACACGGGCAAGACAAATTAGTCAGCACTAGACATGTGTATGCGGCAGAGGTGGCAAGACAGTTATAAAAGGTGGACACGGGCAAGACAAATTAGTCAGCACTAGACATGTGTGTGCGGCAGAGGTGGCAAGACAGTTATAAAAGGTGGACACGGGCAAGACAAATTAGTCAGCACTAGACATGTGTATGCGGCAGAGGTGGCAAGACAGTTATAAAAGGTGGACACGGGCAAGACAAATTAGTCAGCATTAGACATGTGTGTGCGGCAGAGGTGGCAAGACAGTTATAAAAGGTGGACACGGGCAAGACAAATTAGTCAGCACTAGACATGTGTATGCGGCAGAGGTGGCAAGACAGTTATAAAAGGTGGACACGGGCAAGACAAATTAGTCAGCACTAGACATGTGTATGCGGCAGAGGTGGCAAGAACGTGGAATAAGCCAAGAAGAGTCCATGGAACCCGCCACCATTCACATTATGAACAGCAAATGTGTTACTAAGGTTTGTGAGAATGTATCAACCACCAAAAAAATATAATATAACAGGATGTACCTTCTTGTGTATATTTTTATATACTGTATACAATATATGTACCGATACTATTAACAAGTCATGAAATGCATATATTTTACCTATTCTGAATGGCCAAATCCTTTTCCTCATTAACAGCGTTGACAGAGCTGATCAGCGCCTTATACAGGCGTGTTGTTATGTAGCGTTCCGTGAGCTCATTGATCTTGTCTACTTGATCTTGTGTTAAATCTGAAAGAACAAAATTGTGAAAGCTTTAAATACACACAAAGTTCCTGAGACCTGGAACTTTAAGAACAAGAGGTCATAGATATAAACTAGCTGAACACAGATGCCGAAGAAATATAAGAAAATTCACTTTCGCAAACAGAGTGGTAGACGGTTGGAACAAGTTAGGTGAGAAGGTGGTGGAGGCCAAGACCGTCAGTAGTTTCAAAGCGTTATCTGACAAAGAGTGCTGGGAAGACGGTACACCACAAGCGTAGCTCTCATCCTGTAACTACACTTAGGTAATTACACTTAGGTAATTACACACACACACCCAAAAAGGCACTAGATTCATTAGTATAATATATTATACTCACAATCCAATTAACTATGAAGGGAAACATATCTGGAAAATCTTGTGCAGAGCAATGTATAACTTCTATACAGGAGAGAGCTTTCAGAGATGTGCACCTATTTTACAAGAATACTTTGTGGGAAAAAATGTGTTAATATATATCAATGTACACTTATTGAAAGTAAATTTGAAAACACGGCTGGCGTATCACCACGTACTGTACTCGCATTTAAGATACGAGACCGAGCTTAACCTCAATGTTATAACGATGCATTCGATCAGTCAGAAAAAAAAGTATTTTCATGAAATATTACAAGCTGACAAAAGAGTACAACATACCATGGTAGGCACTTTGCATGGTGACCATCTCGTTCATGGAGTTGTAGAAGTCGTGGACCTGTTCACCAGACTCGTCCACAGACTGGAACTCCACACACCGCACCATCTTCTCTACAAACGAGTTGATCTGCTTGCTCACTCTAATTTGAATGTCCTTGCTCAGAGTCTGGAGAAATAATATTTTTTTCCCATAAATTGAACTAGTTTAATTTTCATGCAAATCTGTACTTAGGCTTATTGAGGACCTTTTAGGCCTAATTCCCGGGTACCTATTATACTCATAGGGCAACAGATCCATCAGGTGAAAAGAAATGTACCCATTTCTGTCCTGCCTGGGGACTGAACTTGGGTCCCTTAGCCACTGTGCTGCTCGCCTTCCAAATGCGGCATCCCCCTCCCCTCCCTTTTTTATATAAACATTCACAGGAATAAACCTAAACAAGAAGGAAACCACAAACTATGGACTATCATGCATTTAATGCAATCACTTATGAAACCTCTCTTTTCCTAATCATGGCAGCTTTTTAACATTTATGTAACACTAGAAATTGAAGACAACGAAGTTTCGGTCCGTTCCAGACCATTATCACAAATAGACTTGATAATGGTCCAGGAGAGATCAAAATGTCCTTGCCTCAATTTTTAGGGTGTGGTTTGGTCAACATTTTTCAGCCACGTTACTGTGCCTTCATCTGCATTTATGTAACAGTTTACGAGCTCTGATACTTAAATAACCTATCTTGAGGTTATCTTGAGATGATTAGCCTAAGGCGAACCTAAGGCGAGGTTATTTATAACACTAACAACCTTGGGTTGTGAGGTTTCAAAGCTTGTAAACTCTCTTAACCACCGTGCTGTGCCGAGCTTATTGTGAAATTAAAGAACTAGGTAAAAAACTATGAAATTTAAATGTTTATTCAGGTAAAGTACATACAAACAAGGTGTGATACAAACATTGATGGATTTATAGATAGAGTTAGTACATACAATGCCTAAAGCCACTATTACGCAAAGCGTTTCGTGCAGGAAAAACACTAAAGACTAAAACTTAATACTAATTGAGATTAGAGTATAAATTGTGTTGAGAAAATATAAAAATAAAAAAGGGGGGAAAATATGGCAGAAAAATAGTAAATATACAGTTTGGTCAACAAACAGCATTGTTTAAAAATAGCAGACATGGGTTGACATTATAGGGGTAATGTAGATTACAGGGAGTTAATTAGGTAGTGTTTAGTTTTACTCTTAAACTGGTTGAGAGAGGTACAGTCTTTAACATGGTTGGGAAGGTCATTCCACATTCTGGGTCCCTTGATTTGTTGAGCATTTCTAGTTTGATTAAGTCGTACTCTTGGAATATCAAAATTATGAGGGGAATTATGAGGGGATCCTGCCATTGCTTCAATGAAGAATCGAGATGATGTTGCATCATGAAGCTCGGTATTCAAAATGAAACCGTAAGAACTGATCGAGAAGCAAACAAACAAAAGTCGGCGTATTACAAAAAAGTTGCAAAATGAGAACACTCAATACATTACTGCAATTGGAATTTTGATTTTATGGAAAGTGCCATTCTGAGTAAATCCTTTAAACCCTTCCTCCCTACATTTTTGTCCCCACTTTAGTGACAATTTTCTATGGAATCAGACAAAATAAGGGGTTGATTGGGGATCTGGAGTGATACTGCCATCTGGAGACAGATGGTAAAGATGAACCAGCAGGACAATTTGTCATTGACCACAACGTACCATTGACAGGTACATGCCCAGTGATGGCACCGAGTTAGGCGAATACCTAAAGTACTTCTCAATTTTCAGGTTATGTTCAGTTTCTGTACTAACCGAGACACTTATCTGCATCAAATTTCAACCAATTATAATTACCTATCTGTTACAATTATCGATGAACCCATTTGTGATTCCTACGTCAAAATGCTGGATACAGCCTTAGCTTGTATCTAGCTCTCAAAAATCCATTTCCATCACTATACAAAACAGGCATCATGGAAAGGCTCTACGATACATTACTTTGTAAACAGAGCCCCTGGTGGCCCTCGTGGGCTCCAGGGGGACCCCCGAGACCATAACCTCAGCAGGGACGTTGTGAAACTATTCTCATCATGCCAGGGACTTGACCCGAGTGGACAGTGCTCAGGATTTGTTGTCCTAAGGGTCCGGGTTCGATCCCCAGCGGAGGCAGAAACAAATGGGCAGAGTTTCTTTCACTTTGATGCGCCTGTTCACCTACGAGTAAATAAGTACCTGGGAGTTAGCTGCTATAGGCTGCTTCCTGGGAATGTGTAACAAAAAGGAGGCCAGGTCGAGGAACGGGCTGCGGGGACGCTAATCCCCAAAATCATCTCAAGATGACCTCAAGAGATGGCAGTACTGCAAGTCATGCTACTTTACTGCATGAAACTAAACACATAATAACCATAAAGCTTAGGGCTCCACCTGAATAACACAGACATGAAATTATAATCAATTAATATAAATGACAATATTAGCAGCTATATGCAGTTCCTCAAATAAGTAATAATTTCCATTCTCAGGAGGCATGAAGCCTGTGCTTATTGAGGTCACACCAGGGTGAAACTACCGACCCTAGATGCAACCCCACAACACTTGCCGAACTCCCCATGAACAGAGGCATCAGGTGGAAGTCAACGTGTCCAGCCATTTCTGTCCTGGCCAGGGCTTGGGACCGTCGAGTACGAGCCAAGGATGACAACCACCGTGCTACAGGACCCATTATGACACGACACGTACGTACCTTCAGGAAGTCGTTGAACTCCTGCCCGACACACTGAGATTCGATGCTCAGTTGTCTGCTTGCCTTTGGATGGTCACCTTTGGTAGGGTCTATAACAAACCAAGACAACGGGGAAAATTAATAAAACCCAGTAACCAAGAGCAAGAGCACTTTGATCTGCATCGTTAGGCATAGATAACATACATATTATTGGTTTAAATACATATTTATACAAAGACAAGTTTGAGGTTTCGGTTTGAGGACCGAAACGTCGTCGTCCCTTCACCTTCTAGTGTGGGGTCTGGTCGACAAGTTTGAGGTATGGAAGCTGAAACTATCTCGATTGGACAAACTGACAAGATAAACTACAACGCACCCTTGGTCTGCGACTTGCGGAAAATGGACTTCACAGCTTTAGTCCTCTTGTCGAGCTGCTGCCTTCGCTTCTCCTCAAAGCGATCAAACTTCCGGCTCATCATCGAGGTAGCAGTCGAGGTGAGTTCCGACACATCGCTGACAGATCGGCTCACTTTACTGAAACACAAATATAACATGTTATAATCACGATCATCATCATTACCATTACCAACAGTCATCTGGCAGAAGCGCCATGGCTGAAGATGAAAAGGAACAACCAAATGTAACCTTATTTAATTCCATTCACTTTCACCTGGGTTCTAGGAGACTTGAACCGTGGACCCCACGGGTGTGAGGCCTCTATTGGTCTCAACCTTATTGTACACTACTGTACCAACATTCACCACTCTCTTGCTGGCACATCTTATATACTATGAAACAACAGACGCGCATTTGACTAACTTTAAATTAAAAAAAACTGGTAGAAAACTTTGATGAAAACAGTGTTATTAATCCATGGAGCACATTGCCAGGCAACATGAAAGACACTGACTTGTTGCAACATTACGAGTTCACATTACATACGGGTCAATAGGCTTCTGATGTGTCCTTTATTCTTAAGTCAAAGATTACCACCTTTAAGGGAGGGATTCCCAAGAGGGAAGGTACTACCTAGTTTGCCTCCTTTCTAAAAGAATCTACCTGTTGAAGATTTTGGAGATTAATCCCTTCCATCTTCCACAGGTCGGCCAGAGGCAGTACCTGGCCCCTTGGGGGCGACTCCCT